CCCTGAGCGACCCACAGAAGCGCGCGCGCTACGACAGCGGCGACGACCTGGTCGATCCCTCGGACATGTTTGGCGGCGGCGGCGGCATGCACGGCGGCATTGATCCCGAGATCCTGTTCAGCATGATGGGTGGCCAGGGCGGCGGCGGCGGTTTTGGCGGCGGCGGCTTCGGCGGCGGCTTCCCCGGCGGCGCCGGTGGCTTCCCTGGTGGTGGCGCCGGTGGCTTCCACTTTAACCAATCCGGCGGACGCCAGCGTGGCTTCCCCGGCGGCTTCCAGTTCCAGTGACAACACGCACGGGAAGGAGAGGTCGAGGATGACGAGAGCGACTCTGGCGACGAGGACGAAGGGGAGTACGGAAAAGAAGAGTACGCCAAGGACCACGGAAAAGACTTTGCATGGAGTGCCGCTTCGGCCGCGTCGCGGACGACGGCTCGCCACGAACGGCTGCTCGCCGCAGTGCAGCGCATCGGCATCTTCGTGGTGGCTGCCCTGGTCCTCCTGCCGCCGGTCCTGGCTGTCCTCCTCATTGTCCTAGCGGGCCTGGCCTACCTCATTACGCAGCGTGTCCGTCCCCAGCTACTGTCACGCATAGGAGGGTGAGGCACGGCAAGTAAATATCTCCACGTTTTGGCTCTATCTCATCTCTTTTTTGGTTCCTCGCCTTGGCCTCTGGGTGTCGGTTGTTGACCGTTTGTTATGTTGTTGAGAGGCGATCCTCTCCTTCCCTGCCGGAAGGTTTACGCTCTTTGCTTCCGTTCAAGGTAAAGAGCTCTTGCTCGGGAGGTCTACTCGTTTTCTTTTTCTATTTCTTCTTTTTGCTTGTAATTTTCTTCTTTCTTCCCCCCCCCCCTCCCCCCCCCACCATTGTCATCCCACAACCATCATTGTCAAGGCTGCATAGTTGGTCTGTGCCGCTCGTTTTTCACAGACTGGATCGAACTCAAAAAATAAGACTTGGAGAAAAACGTGTGGTGTCGTCCCGTCCGTCCTTTCTGCTTCGTCCTATTTTATCCATCTTGTTTCTTTTCATCTCATTTTCATCCTCTCTTTTTCACAAAGTAGACTACCGGCGTCCCATAGGATAGAAATAAATAAAATCGTACAAATGACATGACCTTTGCAGCGATGTGGAACGACTGTAATGTGTACTGTGTTTGCTTGAATGCAGGCCGTTGACCTTTAAGTGTTTGTAAAAGGCGCAGTCCTGGTACTATGTATTTATCCAGAATTATCCGTCTCTTGCCAACGCACTCTGTAAACAGACAGGCCGTCCGTATTTCCTGGTTCGGGTCGTCGCTTCCGTTTCTGCACGAATGTGCATTGTCTCCTGTCAAGGTCCGCACCTGCCGCTGTGCAGTTGTGCGACTGAAAGGCTCTCCATTTGACTGCCGCTTTGGGCAACTCAGGGGTGGTTCCTTCTGTGCGCGTCAAATATAGGAGGCTTGTGCTTAACAGTGCGAAATTTAAACACACTGTATTCAATATTTGTCGCCACGGCACGTCACGGCACAGTGCTAAAACTCATGGGTAGCTCGTCCGATCCGCCCCTAATGCACGTCGCCTCCCTGCTGGGGAAGGCCACGATTCAAGATGGTTTGGCGAACTTAAAAATACCCTAGATAATTCGTGTATGGGACACTTTGTAACCATTTTGCACATCCACTCTGCGAAACGTCACCAAGCACCCACGACGAGCAACCTGCTGCTCTCCGACGTTCCTTTTTATTCTTCTATTTTGTCTTGTCTTCTTCTTTTCCGTTTCCTTCCTTTTCCTTTTCCCCATTTTGTCTTTACTTTTCGTGTCCGTTCACGAGGACTCATCGTCCCTCGTCGATTGACGTCTCGTTTCGTTTGCGCGTGCCTCGAACGAGCTGCCAACCACACCTCCCATTCGTGACCGGTCGACATATCTGCCCGACCTGGTCGCTGGTCCGTCGATCCGTCCTCTCTCCTATCCCGCCACCTGGTCTCGCGCCGCACGCTCGACGCCATGGCCGTCGACTACGACTACGACGAGACGGGCAATCTGTGGCCGTTTTTCGTCTTCACGCTCGCCGTCATCATCACGCTGCCGCTGACCTACGTCCTGCTCAAGGGCCTCGGCAACCCGGCCGCCGTCTTCCCCCGCGTCCAGTCGACGTTCCGCCACAACCACGCCGACCTCGTCGATGCCGAGCGCGCCAAGTACCGTCGCCAGCAGCGGCGGTTGGGCCTCATTCTGGCCGTCACCGTCGGCTGGGCCACCATCGGCTATATGCTGTACCTGATCCAGTTCGCCGAGGCTGTCAAGATCGAGCGCGTCTGGAACCCCTACGATATCCTTGGCATTGCAGATGTGTGTACATTTCTGTCTGCTCTGTTTTCTGTCTCGATCTACGTGTCGCTTTACTAACCGCCTGCAGTCTGCCACAGAAAAAGCCATCAAGAGCGCGTACAAGCAGCTGTCGCGCAAGTTTCACCCCGACAAGATCAAGCCCGATGTCTCCAAGAACGAGACCGTGGAGATGCTCAACGAGCGCTACGTCGACATCTCCAAGGCCTACCAGGCACTGACCGACGAGGAGATCCGCAACAACTACCTGCTGTACGGCCACCCCGACGGCAAGCAGGGCACAAGCATCAGCATTGGCCTGCCCAAGCTGATCATCACCGACGGCAACGGCAAGTACGTTGTTCTGCTGTACTTCTTGCTGTTTGGCGTGCTGCTGCCCTACGTTGTGGGCTCCTGGTGGTACGGCACCCAGAGCAAGTCCAAGGAGGGCGTACTGATGGAGAGCGCCAACCGGCTCTTCCACGAGTACAAGGAGGACATTGATGAGGCAGGACTCGTGTCGGCCCTGTCCACTGGCAAGGAGTTTGACGCCATCCTGCCCGGCGACAAGGCCGACTCGGGCTTGGCCACGGTGGAGGCACGCATCACCGCCCCTGTTGCGGCTGCTTCCTCTGCCGACGGCGACGCTGCGGCTGCCGCCACAACTACCTCCTCTGCCCTGACCATTGCGGGCCTGTCCACGGCCGACCGCGAGAAGCTCGACAACCTCGATAACGGCGTCCGGCGCAAGGTGTTGGCTCTTCTGTGGGCCTACCTGGGCCGTGTCGATCTCGGCGACGCGACCCTGGAGAAGCACAAGTTCGAAGTCGCCCCGATTGCCAACACCCTCACCCGTTCCTTTACTGCGATTGCGCTGGCGTACGGCAACACCGCGCCCGTCATCGCGTCCTTCAAGGCCGCCCAGCTTGTCATCCAGGCCCTGGCGCCCAAGTCCTCGCCGCTCCAGCAGCTGCCGCACGTCACGCCAGCCATCGCCAAGGCCATTGAGGGCGACTCCACCGTCACCATGCCCATCCAGCGCCTCATGGACCTGCCCGACGCCAAGCGGAGGAAGATTGCCGTTGGCAGCGGCCGCCTGACCGCCGAGCAGTACGAGGAGGCCGTCTCGGTCGCCAAGCAGCTGCCGCAGCTCCGTGTCACCAAGGCCTTCTTCAAAGTGCCCGGCGAGAAGCACATTATCCCCTCGTCGCTGGTCAGCCTGGTTGTCAAGGGCCGTTTCATCCCGCCGGGCTTCGCCGAGTCGGCACCCGAGGTCGAGCCGCTCGATCTGTTTGACACAGACCCAGCCGAAGACGACATGGACGCGCTGCTGGGCCGGAAACCCAAGACCATTGTCGGCCGCAACCCGGACGGCACCGCCATCACCTCGGATGCCGGGAACGGCAAGCCCAACCTGCCCCCGCTGGCGTACGCGCCCTACTTTGGTCGCGACTACTCGCCGCGCTGGCACGTGTTCTTGACCGACTCCAAGCAGGGCAAGATGGTTGTGCCTCCCTTTACGTTTACGGCATTTGACCGCCCGTTGTTTGAGGAGGACGGCAAGACACCGACATTCCACATGCAGACGCTCAAGGCGCAGTTCATGGCGCCACCCCAGGCCGGCCAGTACACGTTTGTGATGCACGTCATGTGCGACAGCTACATCGGCTTTGACACGAAGACGGAGGTGACGCTGGTCGTCAAGGACGCGAGCGAGGCGGCCGAGATGGCCGACGAGGATGAGATTAGCGAGCCGGACGAAGGTACGTCATGGCGCCAACACAACAAAGCAAGCGTGAAAGGAAAGTCAACCACTAACAAAAAACGGTACATACAGACTCCATTGCCGGCATCATGAATGCTGCCAAGGGCGCACCAGTAAAGAAGGCCAAGTACGAGTCGGACGACGACGACGACGAGAGCGGCACAGAAGAGGAGGCCGACGACACGAGCGACACGAACACGGACACGGACGAGGAAGATTAGAGTGGTATTCAGCACAGGCTGTTGCTGCTTCACATTCGCGTCTGTTGTTTGTTTTTGTGGCTTTCATGCCCTGTGCACCTTTGTGGTTACTGTAATATATGAAACGAAAAGACCTGCTCCTCTTCCTTACAACTATCTTGGCTTAACCCACACCGTTGTTGAAAGACGGCTAGAAGAAGAGATTGGGAGCAAACCAGGGGGCTTTTACTCGCGGTGGAAAAGAAAAGGAACTCCATTTGGCAAGGCGTTTTTTTTTACTGGTCGAGATTCACGCATGTGCATATTGTAGCTCGAAGAGCTGCGTCTTCTAAACTTACAAGGGAAAGTTGGGAAGACGCTGAAATAAAACATAAAACATATGAAAACGATCTTCTATCCAAACACAATGGCACGACGTGAATCACAATCGCAGACATGAGAGCGTGTTTTATTTGGTATTATAGTCGTGACAACACAAGGCCTACTCATAGTCACAAACTTCCAACCCCATCCTTTTGAGTTCTTACTATATCCTTCTCCTTAAAATATCTTTCCGGTTATGATTTCTTCTACCACTTTCTAAATACCATCCAAAGTTTCGTACGCAAATTAAGTTTCGAAAATAACGCCTTCGCTAAATGCAGACCCGGTCTTGCCGTCGTCCACGTCGCCGTAGACATCCGTAGACATTCCACCCACCCCCCGCCCTGACTGTCTACCAATTACTGCAGCAGTTCTTCGCACGTCCAGTCCTCGTAGAAGCCGTCGGGCAGGTACCGCCGCACGATGAGAGGCACCTTCTTCTCGCGCAGCTCCTTCATCGCAATCTGCAGCGGGTCTGTCTCGCCCTCGAGGTCCACCAACACAGGTGCGTTCATGCTATTTGGTCAGTACGCTGCTTTTTCGGTGTATTTCTGCTGCTGCGAATCGAGGGGAACCCAAAGCGTACCTAATCTGCAGCGCACGGGTGCCCAGGATGCGCGCCCGCTCATACTTGGTCATGAACGGCGTCGTCGTCCGCTGCTCGTTGGGAATCTTCTTGTCCTTGTGCGACTTGACATTGTTGACGCGGCCGCCACTCTGGCCGCTGTTGGCGCCGCCGCCGTTCTTTTGGTTCGCCGCCGCCGACGGATCGCCCGACACAATAATGTCCATGTCCTCCTCGCCGTCGCCGTTTTGGTAGCCGGTGCCCTCGCCCTCCTCGTCACCCTCGAGCACTTCGGGATCGTAGTACTCCTGGACATCGTCGTCCTCGTACAAAGGCTCGTCGCTGCGTGTTGTGTGTTAGAAAAGGGCGACGTAATCCTGGACATGCACATGGCCATTTCATGCGTCCGACTTACCCGCCGCCGCCAACATCGTCGTAGCCGTCGTCCGACATTATGAAAGGAGGCTATTAAAGGTTACAAACGAGTGTAGAGGCAAAAAGAAGGAGGTGATGGCTGTCGCGGTGTCGTTGCGACGTGGTTGTCGTGAGGTCGGCGTTGCGAAAAGCAAAAAAGTAGAAGACAACAGGCAAAAAGACGGCGTCTCCCTGGTATTGTCTGCTTGCGAACAAAGAGGCTACAGGTCGACGAAGGCCAGCGTTGGCTCCTTCCTTGCATAGCAGAAAAAGTTTGGAGGCGACGCGGACTATGATTGGCTGACTTGGCCGTGCACACAGAACGAGGTGGCTGAAGGTGGCTTATCGATAAGGCCGTCCCCCACCCGAGTTTTGACTTTTTTTCTGCCCGTTGTATTTTTTGGCCTTCACCGCACGGAAAGAGCGGCCAAGGATCTCCACACAACAATGGAAAGGCGGCAAAAGTGACTACATATCTACGTCGCCATTCCCAATCTATCGAAAGAAACAGACATGACTGAGCACACAGTCTGGATACGATATACAAGATGAAGCGGAAGGCGACCGACGAACTGTTGGCAGACCGGCCACTACCGCCAAGTAGCGAACTACACGGCAAGATGAAAGGTTAGTTCAAGACGGCATAGAAGGGCCGGACTGAAGACAGTCGACGATCGGGAGAGCGGCTTCTAACATGCCTCAGACCAATCTACAGACATGCAGGCCCCGGCGGAGAACGAGCCATCGGCTACCGACGTTGACCTCGAGTCCCAGGACGGCGACAGGGCATCCTCCGAAGCACACACAACACCGGTGACCACGGCCCTGTCGACATCCTCTCGCCGCTTTCCCTCCGACCTCAAGACGATCCCTTGCACCTGGCCCAACTGCCCCAAGACCTTCAACCGGCCTGCGCGCCTCACCGCCCACCTCCGCTCGCACACCAACGACCGCCCTTTTAAATGCACCCAGTGCCCCAAGACATACCTCGAAGAAAAGCACCTGCGGCAGCACATCAAGGGCTCGCACAGCCAGGAGCGGCAGTATTTCTGCTCCGAGTGTGACAAGGCGTTTCTGACGGCGACACGCTTGCGCCGCCACGCCGCCGTGCACGAGGGCCAGGAACGGTTCCGTTGCCGAGGCTACGACGGCTGCACGCGCACCTTTCGGAAGCATCAGACGCTCCAGCGCCACATCCGCGTGGACCACCTACACCAGCCTGCGTTCGTCTGCACGCACGAGATTACGACCCCTGGCGTGGGCGGTGCATCCGGTGCCAAGAAGCCGTGCAAAGCTGTCTTTGAGAGTGCGGGCGCGCTGCGTCGCCACGTGGAACGCGACCACACGGCGCCCAAGTTCTGGTGCGAGGAATGCGGGAGGGCCAATGCCTCCCCCTCCGGGCAAGGAGGCGGCATCGGCTTCGCGACCCGCGCACTTCTGGAGGCTCATATGCGCCACGCACATGTCAACTGCCCCTTTTGTGACGTGCGGTGCGGAGGCCCGGCGGACCTGCACAAGCACATCGATATGCACCACTCAGGCAAGAGCGTCGCTGATCGCAAGACAATTGCGTGCCCGCACCCCGGGTGCAAGAAGACGTTTACGCGGCGGGCGAACCTCAACGTGCACATCCGCGCAGTGCACGAGGGCCTACGGTTTGTCTGCGGCGACGATGCCGATGCGGCCAGCACACCTACTGCCCAAGGCACGGGGACTGAACGGAAGGCCTTCAACGGCTGGACCGACCCCGCTTTGATTTCTTGGGGAGCGCGTGGCGAAGGCTGCGGCCGGGGCTTTGTGTCCAAGATGAAGCTCGAGGAGCATATTCGCTACGTGCATCTGCGGCACGAACGGCCTGGGCCGGTTATCGTCGTCGATGCCGATCCGCTGGCTGCATCGTCCGCGGCCGCCAGCAGCACGCCTACGGTTTCGCCATCACCTACGCCGACCCAGCGTCTCGGAGGTGCGACTGCTGGTGGAAACGACGACCTGGCAACACCCTCGGCGGATGTACTCATCGATGCACTGCTGGGCACGAACCGGACCCTCGTCTGCACGCTGCCCGGTTGCGACGCGCGGTTTGTCCGCCACCACGATCTCAACGTGCACCTCCAGCGGGACCATACCCCTGCGACGGTGGGGGGCGCTGTCGACGTTGAAAATGTTGACGATGACAACGACTTCAACCCAGATGAGTTCTGGATCGGCGGCGGCGACCACATGAACGGCGATGGCGCGGATGTCGGCGCACTGGTGCCCCGTGACGACGACATGTTTGGGACCTACATGACTATGGACAACATTGACTTGAGGTTGGCTGCACAAGCAGACCACAACGACAGCATGCTGCCTTCACAGGTGCTCATTAGCAACAATGATCCCCAATGGCATATGGATGAGGGCGAGATGCGGCGGCTGATTGGCAGCGATGATGCCAACGACGGAAACGGGGGAAACGGTGGTAGTTCGGGTACCAGTGCCAACATGAACTTTCTCGACCCGAATCTGTTCTTATAGGACGGCGATGGATGGGGTAGTGATTAAAAGGAGTATGGACTCGTCTGTTATCATTGTTTTTGGCGTTTAAAATAGATACCCATGGGACTGTTAAGATACTCAAAAAGAGGAGTATTTGTTTTCTGATAAAGGGAAAAAAATGGAAATGCATTTTTATTTTATTTTATTTTATATTTAGTTTATTTTTCGTCTTCGGGTTCTCTTTTACAATGACAGGAAAAGTGATTTTCTGCGAATAAAATAAAAATAAATATACATATTATTGGACGACCGTTTATTGTCAAATGCATGCCCCTAGAAACAATGATCGAAAATGATTTATCAGATGAGATACAGACCCAATACACACCATAAAACAAAGGGAGAACGGCAGACGTGCAAAGAACTCCAGTACGGTGAATACCCCTGAACGATAAATGCTGAGAGAAGCCAGGGCCACAAAAAAGAACTCAAGAGCGAGATAAAAGACGGACAGAAAATAACCAAAAACACAAGCCGCGCAGTGATCAGTGCGTGCCAATAGCATTGCTAATGCCGAGCAGCATCATGCCCAAAAAGGCAAATGCAACCGTCAACTGCCGGTTGTGGTGCAGCGTCAGGCTCTCGACAAACAGCTGAAGGGACACGGCCACCATGATGCCGGCGGTGACGGCGAACAGGATGCCGTATGCCGTGCCGTCGCCCGAGTCGTTGTCGTTGCGCGCCATGTATTTCAGCCACAGGGCAGCACAGCCGGCGCCGAGCGGCTGGCTCAGGCCACCGAGGGCGGCGGCCCAGAGGATGGCGCGCAGGCGGCTGCCGAGGGCCATGTAGAGGGGCAGGGCCATGGCGAAGCCTTCGGCGATGTTGTGCACAAAGAGGGCCATGAACACATTGAAGCCAAGAGCCGGGTTGGCGTGGTTGGTGGCGAAGGTGATGAAGCCCTCGGGGAACTTGTGGAGGCCGATGGCGAGAACCGTCTGGAGACCAATGGACAAAAAGGCGTTGGCGGGGACGTGGTGGTGGTGTGGGTGGCCGCCGCCGGTAGCGGCGCCGGCCTCGACATCAGCGTCGGGGTCGTCCTCGTAATAGTGGCCATGCTCGTGGCCCTCGTCGTGATCGTGGTCGTGGTCGTGGTGACCATCGTGATCATGGCCGTGATGCTTGGTGGTGTTGTTGCCGGCCTCTTCGTTGGATACGTTCGTCGATGACTCGCCACTGCCGGCGGACAAGTGGGTATCGTGTTCGTGTTCGTACGTTTCAATGTGGCCGTGCGTGTCGACACGGTGCCTTCGTACTGTACCAGTGGCACCGGGAGACTCAGGCCGGCTGACGCTCGCACTGGTATCGCCACCATTTTCTTCGGGCACGACTTCGGGTACTACGACTGTGCCCTCCCAGTTGGAGGACGGTGTGGAAGCTGCACGTTTTGGCGGGTGCGGAAGGACACTGCCCCGGAGGGTCGATGTCGGCGTCTTAATAGTGATTGTCCGTTTGCACTCTTGACCACATGGGTCGGTGTAGCCGTAGCACGGGCCAAACTCGTCACAGTTGGACTTGATGTCCTGGACAAAGGAGATGACGCGGTTGCGGACATTGAACATGGACGGTGCACGCAGATTGGAGAGGGATCGCTTCGGCTGTAGGCCACCTATTGTGGGCGGGTTGGAGGCCGCGACGATATCGTCGCTTCGTGTGGAGAGCCGGCGTTGCGGGGACGCCCGCGCGTCGGCAATGCCTACTGGGACAGTTGCATTTGCCGTCTCGACGGTTGCGAGGAGTGGAGTAGACTCGGTCGCAGTAGCGTCGACGGAGCGCTGGCGGAAGTACTTGCGTGAGACGAAGCGGGGCTTGGTGCCTACGCGGAAGTAGGTGCTGGGGGACGGTTCATGATCATGGCCGTGGTGGTGGGCGTGGCCGCGACTGCGGCCATGAGAGCCGTGAGAGCCGTGTGCGTGAGAGTGTGATGGCTCGTCATCGTCGTCATCGTCGTCATCGTCGTCCTCATGGGTGTGATCACAGTCGACGACGTGGGACGGCATGAAGCGGTGGATGATGCGGGACACGATCTGCATGCCGACAAAGCCCAAGGCAAAGCCACTAATCATGAGCAGGCCGGCAGCCTGGTCGGTCAGGCCATCGTCAACAAGGTAGCGCTTGGAGGATGGCAGCATGCTGAAAAGGGAGGAGAAGATCTAGCAAGGTTAGCCATCGAGGTATGGTATGCCTGACACATATAGGAAGGCGCCATGGAGGACTCACCATCACGCCGAAGCTGAGACTCAACGAGGACGACAAAAAGGCACTGCTATCCTGGATGTTGAAGCTCTTCTTTCCCGGCAGCATGCGGATGAAGATGTCGACACACACGATGCCAGCGCCGGCGACGCACGCTGGGAGTGTTAGAACGTAGAAGGGACAAGTCAATAACGTTCAGACGAACTGTCACGTACCGATGGCGCTGATCGCACACAGGATCCACCCGCGCGTGTCGTTGGAGATGGTACCGTCCGGAGACGCCATGGCCGCCGTGGTGGACATGGCTGCCTACCTCGATAACCACCGTGATGGTGGACGACAGGGAGACACGAGGAGAGAGGAGGATGACCAAAGGAACGTGTCAGGGATCAAGGGTCTGCTAACAACGCCACGACCATCGTCTTTCGAACTTGGGCACCAAAAAAGAAAGGTCGTTGAGGCAAGAACGTAGCTTCAAAGTCTAAAATCGGAAAGGGAAAAGAAAGTCTCCGGGGTAGAAACAATGGGACAGAAGAGACCAGGCAAGTCGAAACGAGATGGCAAGATAGCGCCCGTAGTGGAGGCCACGGTTCCAGCGGGCAGCGGCAGACGCACAAGGGACCAGTTGGACTGGACTGGACTAGACTGCGCGTGGGATGTGGGATGGTCTGGTCTGAGGCCTGCGCTGAGGCAAATGGGGTGGCCGTCAAGGTGCGCAAGTCGAGCAGTGGCAGAGTGGACAAACGTGACGAGGCGATACGTGACGAAGGGCAGTCCAGCGTGGAGGGCCAAGAGAGAAAGCGTGAAACATCAACGAGGAGCCAAGAGATAATGAATACGTTTGCTGTTTTGCAGCAATGCAGAGGACGCCGGATGAAGTGGACGACGAAGCATCGGCCGGTTTGGTGATGGTCGCTGTTAACGTGAGGGAAGAAGGAAGCAGCAACAGGATGGGAAGGAGTGAAATGAAGGAACCTCATACAGCTGCAGCTTGATCGTACGCACTGGAGAGCAGGGAGGCAGGACTTGGAGATCGACCTGTCAAAGTAGTCGTGCAATAAAAGAGGCGGCATCGACTCGAGATCTCAGCGCGCTGGCGATGTCAGCAACAGGCAATCGCCACTGGGACTAGCGGCATATTCTGTAGTGTGTACGGTGACGCAGGTGGACAGCAGGGTTCTCAGCTTGTGAATTGGGGAAGGTGCTCTAGAACCTAGCACCCCACTAGCCAACCACAGGCGGCGGGTTCGAAACACGGTGAAGCCAGGGCGGTGGAGGCTAGCGAAACGGACTTAATTCTGCCACCATTGACCGCCAAAATTCTTTAAGTGGCTGCTGTTTGTGTGCAGGATGATATAACGAGAAAGCACGAGATAATAAAACATAGTGAAACGTACTGCGAGGCTGGCAAAAATTGTATTGATCTAGAGTTCCTGGAAATATAGTCATGTTCATGCTGGAGCTCTTGCTACAGCTCGTTGCAGGGACATATTTGGTAGGCACTGATATACTGCTAACATATTCCGCACATTGACCACCACACTCAATATACACTCTGATTGGCTAGAATACAGTGATTAGGACCTGTTCGCCAGCCGTGCCTGAGAAGGCTGTCAATCTCCAGGGGCTACGCCCGATGCTCCAGGGCGCTAAAAATAATTTTAGGGGACCCTAACTTCAAAACGGCAAGAAAAGGCCAACATCGACTGCACCTTGACGACAGCCCCCTCACCTCCACCCTTTCCCCCCAAACTGGCGCCCACCATGTCCAAGTCCACTATCGCCGTTATCGCGGCCGTGAGTGCTGGTGCCGGTGCTGCCGCCACGGCCGCCATGTTCTCGCTGCGGTCCAAGCCGTCCGACCGTGCCACGCCTGTTCCGACTGCCACAACGACGACGACGACGACGTCGACATCTGTATCTTCGGCCGTGCCCGCCTCCAAGGTCTTCTCTGCACCACCGCCCGCCCCCGCCCCGGCACCATTGCCGCCCGTCTCTGCCACAGCCGCCGCTCTTGTCGACCCGGCCGGCCTGTTCCAATACGGCTTCCCCGGCCCCGTCAACGACCTCGCTCCCCGCAGCGCCCTCGTCTCCTCCTACGACCGCCGCACCCGCAACCCCCACTGGGTCGCCGAGCACATCACCCCGGCGTCCCTGGCCGTCCGTGACGGCGACCGCCAGCACTCCGTCTTTGTCGAGGACACTGCCGTGCCCGAGCCGTTCCGCGCCAAGCTCAAGGACTACTTCCGATCCGGCTACGACCGCGGCCACCAGGTCCCCGCTGCCGACTGCAAGTGGAGCCAGGACGCCATGAACGAGACGTTTTTCCTCAGCAACATGTGTCCCCAGGTCGGCGAAGGCTTCAACCGCGACTACTGGGCCCATTTCGAGGACTTTTGCCGCCGCCTGACCACGCGCTACCCGAGCGTGCGGATCGTCACCGGCCCCCTCTATCTCCCGAAAAAGGACCCCGTGGACAACAAGTGGTACGTCAAGTACGAAATGATTGGCAGCCCGCCCAATGTGGCCGTGCCGACGCACTTTTACAAGGTCATCTACGCCGAGACGGCGCCCACCACGGGTCCCGGCGGCAATCCGGGCGCACCGGTGGCGCTGGGCGCCTTTGTGCTGCCCAACGCGCCGATCCCCAACACCAAGCCGCTGAGCGATTTCGAGGTGCCGCTGGAGGCCGTGGAGCGGGCGTCGGGCCTGGAGTTTGCCGCGAAGCTGCCGCCGCAGCGGCGCCGGCGGCTGTGTGCGGAGACGTCGTGCTCGCTGGTGGTCAAGGAGTACAACGACCGGCAAAAGCAGGTGGCCACAGGGGGACGGCGGTAGAGGCAGTAGATGGGACGCGAGAGGAGAATGTGCATTTGTAGCATAGACAGCACAGCATAGGTGATATGATTTGCAAACGTGAATGAGAATACAATGAAGAACAAATAATCGTTTTGGGCAGTTGATATTATATAAATAACTTGCTTGAGCTGCTGACGGGCGCTTCCATGAGATACCATGATCACGCCGTGAGAAAGAAGGAACTGCCAACGGAAATTCCCATACCATGACACCTGTGCCCTGCAAAATGCATGTCCAGGTCGAAACCCGGGTTTGTGCCGCATATGAAAGAATACAAGGAATATGCCGCAGCGCCTCCTCTTGTCTTCCTCGTCTCGTTTCTTCCTGTCGCCAACACAACAGCGGAACCTATCGCCGCTGCGTGTACTGCCCCCGCTTCTGCTCTTCCCTGAGACTGTCTGCTTGGCTGGGAAGCGGTGCACGATTTCGCTGGCCCTGCTGCTCGGCACCGAGACCCGGCAGACCAGGAATGCCAGGAATGCCGCCACCACCCAGCCCTGGCAGGGTCCCCTGGAAGCCAGGTGGAGGCGGTGGCGGCGGGACCATGCCACCTACGCCTGCTGGCAGTGGCGGCGGTGGAATGGGCGGGAAATGGCTTCCTGGTGGGGGCGGCGGCAGCTGGAAGCCGGCCTTTTTCATCAACTCCAGCATTGTCGCCGGATCTGGTGGGTTCTTCATGTCGACGCCCGGAATGAGTGGTGGCAGCGCACCACCCGCGGCCAGGACGCCCGGCGGCGGCGGCGGCGGCGGCGGCGGGATCATGCCCAGACCAGCACCGCCACGTCCACTGGTCGCACCACCGAGGCCGGGCAGCGACAGACCGGGCAGCATCGGTGGTGGTGGCACAGCGCCGCCACCGCCATGTGCTGCAGCTTCTGCTGCTGCGGCGGCGGCGGCGGCGGCGGCCGCCTGCTGCTGTTTGAGCGGCATTTTTTGGTCGACAAGACCCTCGGCCTCGTCCTCCATCTCCTGCTCCTCCTCTTCCTGCCGCTGCCGCCGGTTGCCCCGCCGGTCCCATGTACCCTGCGCCTCGGCGGCGGCCTCGCCAATGTGGTACCGGTCGCGCGACACATCTTCGCCCGGCCGCGCGCGCGTCCAGAAGCGCGTGACGCGGTCGTTGGAGCCGGACACCAGAATGTGGCCCAGCGGGTGCCAGTCGAGCGACCAGATGGCAAAATCGTGCGCGTAGGGCACGCGGTGTGCCGGGTAGATGCTCTGGGCGGGGGCGGTCGAGGGGTCTGGGCTGTCGTACGGCGCGACGGTGACGGCCTGGCCCGGCGGCGTGTTTGGCTCGTCGAGCAGGTAGTGGAACAGCGCGCCGTCGCCGCCCCCCGTGCTCAGCAGGTTGCCGTGGACCGGGTGCCACGCCAGGGTCGACACGTCCTTTTCGTGGCCGCGCAGCAGGCAAATGTCGCGCATGGTGCGCAGGTCAAAGACGCGCGCCGTCTGGTCGCGCGCCGCCGTGGCGAGGCACCAGCCGTGCACGCGCTCAAACGACGTTTTCGTAATGGTGTTTTTGTGGCCGTGCAGCGTCGTCAGGCACCGGCCGGACCGCGGGTCCCAGAGCTTGACCAGATGGTCTTTGGAGCCCGACACCACCAGGCCCTTGGTCGGGTGCCAGTCGCACGTCTTGGCGTCCCAGCCGTGGCCGGTCAGTGTCGCCTCGGGCCGCGCGGCGGCAAAGTCGTAAATTTTCAGCGTGGAGTCGTCCGATGCCGTGACAAACTTGGCGTCGGTCGGGGCAAACGCCAGGTCGCGGATGGGGTCGGTGTGTGCCGACAGGTTCTCGACGTTGTTGAAGTTGGGCTGCCAGTACTTGATGTTGCCGTCGTGGTCGGCCGAAATGAGCCAGTCGTCGCTGTACGAGTACGCGAGCGCGCGGATGGCCGAGTCGTGGGCCTGCATGATTGTCTCAAAGTTGAATCCCGTGCCGTTCCAGAGCGTGAACTCGCCGCTGCTCGAGGCGGTCAGCAGGCGGCGGCCCTCGGGCGTCCAGCGCACGACGTTGACGGGGTGCTTGATCTTGTTGAGAGACGAGTGTAGGTGGCGTGTGGGAACGGTGTCGGCGGCATTCGTAATACGAGCCACTGGTGGGAGCATCTAGAGGGGAGTTAGAAGCGGAAGGAAACATCAAGGGCACAGGGCAGCGGCTTACGTCAACAATGTAGCTCACGCTCGGCCGTTCGGACTCGCCGCCGTATGCATTGCGGTACTTGGGATGTCGGTGGCGCATCCAATGCACCAGGCTTGCGCCGTAGTCGGTCACGGGTCGCCGTCCCCGAACTCTGACAAACCCTTCGCCGTCCTGGCCGCCAAACCGCCCTCCATCTTGGCCTCCGTACCGGCCGCCGTCCTGGCCATACCGACCTCCACCACCACCGTAGTCCCCTCGTGGATCGTACGCCATGGTTGGCGCACGCGTCCGCTAGGACGGAGGCCTTGTGCGATGATAACGCTGTAGAGGGAAGCCAATCAGATGCGCTTCACGTTAGGCTCCGTAGATCGTCGCAGATTGCTATAAAAGCCGACTATCGTGACCAGCGCAGATGGCGTCGTCGTGGGGATTGCGAGCTTGTCGTAATTGCTACTACTGTGGTCGTCGTCGTCGTTTCACTTTTGGCGATGCGATGCACGTTTCTTTGAGCTGCTTTTGGAAGCCGCGCTTTTTGCGCTGCGTCGCGTTTTGGTTCATGGGGAAGGCACGAAAAGTGGAGCCAGCCTCATCGTGAGGAGCTCCGACACTCAAGCTCTGGATCTGGCCGTGTCCTCTGATTGGCCAGAAATGAGCTACGCAACGTCCGCTTTCGTAACTGAGACAAACGACGATCGTCTTTTCTACCCCTTGCTCTTTTGCGATGTAGCAACTCGACGACGCCATCGGCGGTGGACACTTGATGTTTTGTTTTCGACTTGTCTTGGATTATGTTTTCTTTTTTCGGTCATTTCTTCTCTTTGAGTTTATTGGGAAGACATGTCTCTTGTTGCTTGCTGCCGTACCTGCCAATCGTTCCTTCCTCGAAGAACACTGCATTTCTCTGCGCCCTTCGCCCTTCGTACTTGCCTTTGTACTTGCTTCTTCCGCAAATGCCAATATCATACTCAGTAGTCTTATCACATCGCTAGCTCGCCATCCCTTTCTATTTTCGGGGATTTTCACCAAACTTGTCCGTCGCTGTCTCTCTCGCCATTTTCTGGTGTCTGGTTCGACTCTACCCCGGCCTGTGTTTGCACCTACACCTGTGATTGGCCCCGAGCGAACTAGGCGACCTACTTGATGCAGACTGCACGACAGGTGTGATGCCGGTGAGCCGCGGCGCGTTCTAGGCGTTGCCGTTGGCGTGCATAAGTGCTGTTGCAGAAAATGTATATTGTTCGTTCCTTGTTTTGTCTTCCCAAGATGCAGACGTTGCGAAGCCCCCGTTATCTTTGAACGTTTTGCTCGGACACGTACATCCTGCTGTGCAAAGTACCTTAGCTCCCTCCTCCTTTCTTGCATCAAGCCTTGCATCCCTGCTCGTATCTCCCTCGTTTTCCTTTCGCTCCCCGAGGTTCCTCCCTCTGTTACTTTACTCGTAGATGCTCTCGCTGCTAGCCATTTCCAATTCGCGTGGGCTGGTACATTCAAACGATAAAAGATCTGGGACTGGCTCTAGATAACCGTCAATCCCCCGCGGATCTAACGACGATCTCCGTCTTGGAAGGCTGTCAATCGGACGGGAGCTCTTCGACAAGGCAAGACAAGGCCACAATGCAGGACACAAGAACATTGCATTCACCAATGTAAGTACTGCTTGGAGTGTATGCCGCACAAGCAGACGCAAGTCATAAAGATTGCGCGATAGGATTTGCTCATTGCCGGCGAGTATGTGATTGGGATGACAGGCATTCGTCAGCGAAGCATTGTCTTGGCCTGCTTCTGCCAGGTTGTCTCTGTCGGTGCCCGTTGTCTTTTATCTGGTACCTGGGTGTCTCTCATGTTGCCTCTTTCGTCCGCTTGTCCCTTGACTTGTGTGTTGGTGGCTTGAGAGAGGACTGCAAAGATACGGGCAGATATGTACTTGTTCCAAATCTCATACCACCCACCTCTTGGGACACTGTCACCTTGCTGACTCTTAGCCAGACCCTTTTTCCTTTTTCGAATTCCTTTCGTCCTTTTTGTCGCAGTTTTCGTGATTCCTGTTGTACTCCTGGCGTCGCGTTATTGTCCGAACGTGTTCAGTTGCAGGATTGTTGTATGCCGTCGCAAAAGATATAAACGCTGTCGAGGCCTTCCCATCTCGCTTTTTTATGATCCTCCTCTTTCACGTCACTTCCCATTCGCACTTCCTCCTTTTGCCAATTGAAAATATTCTCGCAGTCGCTCCCACTCACGGCATTCTCTAGCATCTCTTGCATCTCTTGCATCTCCATCTCCTGCATTTCATCTCGGCTTTTCCATTATCTTGTTTGTCGTCTGTTCCGGTCCTACCCTTCCAGTCGCCACTGCCAATACGAAAACGCAACAGTGAGCAGCCTCGGCCCGCAACAGCGACCGACGGAAAATTTTGGGTTGCTATTTTCATTTTTGGCGTCTCGCATTGGCGGCCGCTTTTCAACGACGTCACGTTAGTACCGTTAGTACAGAGCGTAAGATACAGGTACCAACTTCACGCCGCAGGAAGCCGCGCTATTGCCTTCTTTTACTAAAAAGCCTGCCCAGAGCTTCCCTTTGGCAAGAGCCGCCGACAAACGAAGCTCGTGGACGTTCTACCCCTCTTTCCCTGGACGTTGTATTTATATTTTACGTTCTCCTTTTTTTACTTCTCCTTTTACTTCTCCTTTTTCTTCAATGAATTCGTCAATCGGCCTCGCTGCACATCTTGCCATTGGCAATGGACGCTGCACCACGGTTTCGCAAACCACCAAGAACAGCAGTCCACCGGTCTCTGCCCTAGAAGACCTAGAAGATCGCGCCGCCAATGACGGCAGCACTGCTTACTCCACCAGTGCAGCTTCACATGCAAATGCCAAAACAGCCATGAGCGCCACCTCCAACGCCTTCAACGCCTCCAACGCCCTCAGCGCAGAGATCCATGCAAACACAAAGGCGCCTGTCACGGACATGGCAGACACGACAACGGCTGCAAACGCGAGCGCCAGCGGCCTCACGCAGCGCCGCAACAGGAACGAGCCGGTGCCTGCCCGGCTGACGAAAGAAACCAGCGAAAACGACGGCACGCCCATCGAGCCGCAACACGATGACGCCACGATCCAGCAGCTGCGCAAGGCCTTCCAGCGCAAGTATCGCCATGTCGCCGCCATCCACTCCAAGACGCAGCCGTCCTGCTTGAGCCACGACAGTGTCGCCTCGCCCAGCTTCCTCGGTTTCCGCAATCTCATGGTGATTGTGCTGGTCGCCGGCAACCTGCGTCTCATGATTGAGAACATCCAAAAGGTACGTTGCCCATGGCGCTACAATTTCGTTACAATTTCGCTGTCCTGCCACACGCACCCCATCTAACAGCAACAGTACGGCGTCCTCATCTGTGTCCGCTGCCACGACTTCCGCCAGCATGATGTCCTCCTCGGCCTTGTCTTGTTCCTCTCGATCCCCCTCCATCTCTTTGTCGCCCTGCTTATTGAGCTTGGCGCCTCGCAGCAGGCGCAGGTTTGGCGCAAACGGACGACGGCAGCCAAACTGCAAAACAAGATTGGCGCCGCCGGCAGCCACAGCAGCAGCGGCAGCAGCAGCAGCAACGGCGCCAAGAGCAGCACGGGCGCGTCTAGCCCGACCGAAGACGAGGCCCGCCGCTTCACGGCCTTGTGGCACGTCGTCGCCTGGCTGCACGCTGCCAACATTTCCATGGCGCTCGCCATTGCCTCGTATGTGGTGTACTTCCACATCCACCACCCCCTCGTGGGCACGCTTGTTGAGGTCCACGCCATTGTTGTCTGGCTGAAGACGGCCTCCTATGCGTTTACGAACCGCGACCTCCGCCATGCATACCTGCACCCCTCGCGCGGCGAACGCGAAGCGCTGCCCGCTCTCTATGCGCAGTGCCCCTACCCGGAAAACATCACGTTTGGCAACCTCGTGTACTTTTGGTGGGCGCCGACGCTCGTCTACCAGCCTGCGTACCCCCGCGCGCCCGGGCCGATCCGCTGGATGTTTGTGGCCAAGCGCCTGGCCGAAGTCTTTGGCCTGAGCGTCTTCATCTGGTTCTGCAGCGCGCAGTATGCGGCGCCCGTCCTGCAGAACTCGCTGGCCAAGATTGCCTCGCTCGACCTGTTTGCCATCCTGGAGCGCCTGCTCAAGCTGTCGACCATTTCGCTGGTCGTGTGGCTGGCCGGCTTTTTCGCCGTGTTCCAGTCGTTCCTCAACGCCATTGCCGAGATTACGCGCTTCGGCGACCGCGGCTTCTACGACGACTGGTGGAACAGCGAGAGCCTGGGCACCTACTGGCGCACCTGGAACAAGCCCGTCTACCACTTCTTCCGCCGCCACGTCTACTCCCCGCTGCTGGGCCGTGGCTGGAGCCCCATGGCCGCGTCGCTCATGGTGTTTTTGATCTCGGCGCTGCTGCACGAGCTGGCCGTCGGCATTCCGACGCACAACATTATTGGCGTGGCGTTTTTCGGCATGCTGCTGCAGCTGCCGCTCATTTTCCTGACCATGCCGCTCGAGAAGATGCACTCGGCTACCGGCCGCCTGATTGGCAACTGCACGTTTTGGATCTCCTTCACCGTGCTCGGGCAGCCCTTTGCGGCGCTCATGTACTTTTACGCCTGGCAGGCCAAATACGGCAGTGTCAGCAAGCAGCTGGCCAGCCACCCATAAGGAGCGGCGAGGCAGGTCATCATCCCCACATACAGAATGGCATAAGGACAAATTTGTAGTTTGTAGTATATTTGGAAACTTTTTGGGTAATTGCTCTTCAGCACGCGTATAGATTATATATGGGCTACGGTGGGATATATGGAATTCAAACCGGACTGTACAAACAGGCCGCGTTCCAATGAGACGCAAGACAACGTTGGCAGCGCACATGCTGTCCTTTCACACACAACTCTGGCCATTGCACTCTTGTTTTTTTTTTTTGGCTCCCCTCAAATAAACGGAATCTTGGTGCCCACACGCGCCCGGTACCGCACATAGTCGTCCCCAAAGAAGCGCACCAGCAGCGTCTCCTCGTGCCGGATGCGCATGAAGAAGAACCGCCACAGCACCATTGCGTACGCGGTGAGGCACACGACGTTGCCCAGCACCAGCTGCGTGCCCAGCGCCCACCAAAAGAAGCCGAAATAGCTCGGGTGCCGCAGCCAGGCGTAGACGCCGTCCGTCACGAGGGCGTGGCTGGTCGCGCGCTTGTGCTGGATGGTATGGTTGAAGCTGCGGCCGGCCTGGACCATGGCGGCCGTGCGGACGGCCTGGCCGACGACCACCACCGCGAGACCCGTGGCCAGGACGGCCGTCCGGGGTAGCGCGAACGGAAGGTGCGTCCACACATGCACGTCGCGGAGGAGTGTGTAGCGCAGCAGGCACTCCACGGACGCGGCCGTGTGGGCAATCGCATAGGCGGGCCAGTTGGCCGTCAGCAGAAACGAGTCGATGCTCGCGGCCTGCGTGTTGTAGCGGGCGGTGGTCCAGAACTCGAGGAAGTGGAAGGTGGCGAGGGCGGCCAGGAAAAAGGGGAGGCGCCACAGGGGCGCCAGCACGTCGATGCCGATGCCGGCGGCGCCGGGGACGAGACGGGGCAACAGGACGAGCAGCGCCCCCGACACCACGCCGACCACGAGGGCCGCACCGAGACAAAAGGCACGCAGGGCGATGCCGGCCAGCGACCGCTTCTGGCCCGGATACGAGGCAGCATCCGGCGGGAACCCGACGGCCGGCGTCTCTGGCGAGCCAATGCCGGGCGGCGGTGCGGCTCGGGCTGCGGCGTCCAGTCCGTTTGGGCGTGGCGGCGGCGACACGGACGAGGAAGCTGACGTCGTAGAAATGGGGCTGGCAATATGTTAGAAAGGGAGCACTGACAAGGGCAAGGGAAACGATGTAGATCTTACCTGGGCCGCCGCAACGATGCGCCATTGGCATTGGTGTCGGTGCCCGTCGAATTCTCCATGGTGATGAGGGCGGGGAGATGGAAGAAAACGGACGGCGACGCGACAGAGACGTGGAGTAGAAGAATATGTCGAGGAAGGGAATGCGATATCACGTTGGATCAAGTTGACGTAGGTTTTGGTCAAGTCTGAGACGAGAAAGCAGGCCCTTATAAACACCACCAGTGAGCTGAGATGTGAGCATATGGGAGAGGCTTTTCCCCCTTACTGTCTGCTCTCGACGGTATTTTCCGTTGGTATTGTTCTCGACCGGTAAATGCTCAATGGGTTCACGCTACCAGTCTTGGTGTTGGTGTGAAAGAGATCGATCGCGACGTGCGTTTAGAGATAGCTGAATTCATTTTGGGAGAAGATCGTTTTTGCTGCATTCGGCGATTGGTGCCGCTAAAAACGGTCACTAGGCGCCCTGCCGCCCTTCCCCCCAGTCATATCTAATAATGCACCCCTACGGATTGAGCCGTCAACCCATCGAAGTTATGCGTTGCAGGCTCAACTGTGCAAATGCTGTCCGGTTCGTCGAATCTAGAGCGTACGCCAGAGTTCTTCAGCAAGTTTTACAAACGTGACGCCAGTTGTCGTGATGTGGCATCTCCGAAGTTTTCCCGTTGAAAGGCCCAGGACCAAAAACGACCACTGAAGACATGCGCCAAGTTAAGCTAGAGACCGCTAACCTCGCACTCAGCAGGGGGTTCCACAGGGCAACCCCTCGATCGAGTAGTGGAAAACGGGAACGAATCGCAGTGTCTTGCAAACGCCCAGCACTGCCTCTCATTTAATTTCGCGGGGATCGGACCTGACGGCGTGTCTTTTGCCATTTTTGGCCATACAACGCTACTATTTCCACTCACTTGCGACCGGACACGGTGACACGCTGACACGTTCAAGACACGAGAGAGCGGACGCATATAAAAGAGCCCACTGATCGCTTGCCAACAAAGGTGGATTGCTGTAGTTTGGCATTCTATTTATGCTACTTTCCAAGTACACTCGCTCGACACCACTCCCTCATACGCCGCCGACAATGTCTGCCCCCAACAACAGCGCCGCCGTGCCGGCCAAGATCCCGTCCACGCCCGACGAGCTCGCGGAGAACCGCCGCAGAATGCTCGACGGCGAGCTCTACTTTGCCTTTACGCCCGACCTCACGGCCGAGCGCCGCCGCTGCGCCCAGGCCTGCCACGTGTTCAACCAGGCCCCCCGCGATGCGCCGCGGCGCGAGCTCGTCGCGCTGTGGAGGAAGCTCAACATGGACGACCGGCCGCTGCCGCCGCCGGCCGACACCCCCGAGGCCGACGAGGCGCTGTTTCAGGACGATCCGTGGGTCGAGATGCCGCTGCGCGCCGACTACGGGTACAACATCGTGCTGGGGACGGGCGTGTACGTCAACGCCAACAGCACGTGGATCGACACGTCGCCCATCACGGTGGGCGACAGGACGCTGATTGGGCCCAACTGCTCGTTTTACAGCGGCGGGCACCCGCTGGACGGGGCGGTGCGCAACGGCACCAAGGGACCGGAGTCGGGCAAGCCCATTGTGATTGGCAGCGACTGCTGGCTCGGCGGGAATGTGACGGTGCTGCCCGGCGTCACCATTGGGGCCGGGTCGACCGTGGGCGCGGGCAGCGTCGTGACCAAGGACGTGCCGCCGCGCGTGGTCGTCGCAGGCAACCCGGCGCGGGTGATCCGGAAGCTGGATTAGAAAGGGGGGATGGGCCGGGGTGGCTGATCGAGGCGTGGATGTCGTTCATATAGAATAGAGAAGGAAGGTGGTGATATCGATCGTCCTCGCGTATGCCCGTAGAACGATAGAATAGAAAGCCCGTCTTTGGCCACCGCATTCGCTTCACAGATAGCCCTGGATGGAAAACGACGAGATGACAATGACGAGCAGGTTCGCCCAGCCCCAGATGAATGGAATCCATGTCGACATCCAAAACGGACCGGCCAGGTACGCGGCGCCAATGCTGGGTAGGTCGGTCAGCAGGGTTCTCGGTCTCCCCCTTTTGCGTCCGGCGTGCAACAACTCTCTTGCCTCCTGCGCCAGCTGAGGGACAGCAACCTACATCAACCCGACAAAACTGCCGGCAAACAGGGCCTCGATACCCGCGACCACCGTGTACGTCACCGGAATCGTCCACAGGTACCGCCAGTACTCGGGCCGCCCCGAGTAGATGAGCTGCATCGCCAGCGCAATCACGGCGGCGCCCGCGTGGAAGACGGCGTACAGAATCACCGTCCAGAGCAGCGTGAACCGCCAAATGTCGTACAGGTAGTAGAGGCTGCCGTGCGCCGTCGGTGTCTGCGGCGGCCAGTAGAGGCTCGGGAACTCGGGCGTCTTGTAACCGGGCGGCGCCTGGCTGAAGCTGGCATAGGACGTGCCATTGTCCGCGGGCGCGGTCATCGTCGACGATGGCGACGACAGCGACGACGTCATGGCTGCGGTGGTTTCGTTATGGTATGCGCATGTCGCTTTGTTGTCGGGTGTCGGTTGTTTGGTGGATGATTTTGTTTTGGTGATTCTGGCTGTCGCTAGAGCACCTGCCAGTTATTTAGGGGACGTGCCTGTCAAATTGAATAACGCGCTGGAGCTAACGGCTAAGCTGTATCGAGCGCTTATGTAATTCGGGAGGCCCTTGTAAAAGTGCAAAACACCACTTAAAAGTCACATATGCTCCATAGTCAAGGGTACATCAATATCCCCAGATGCACTCGTATTCCACGTTTATCATGTATGACTTTTATTGAAACCCATGGGAGGATACTAATAGCGGTTTCTTTTTCAATTTTTCATTGTATGTTGCGAATGCAAGGGCCACACTGATTATCATTGACGGTGTCGTTAGCGTATAACTATAACCACTCTAGACTCCTGCTCCGGCCAAATCGACCGGGCAGATACATTTTCGATGCCTTAGATCCTTTCTTTGTACAAGTCTGTCGGCTACAGCTTGTCAAGTCCCTGAATGTACTGCTGCACGTCTGTCATGGGAATGTGGCGCTGCGCGTTGACCGTGATGTCTTTGTCCCAGGCCACGCCACGGCCCTGCGCAAAGGTGTCCCGATACTTGACCATGGTGTCGTCGGGCCGTGCTGCCACCTGCTGCTGCAGCGCGCCCAGATCCCACAGCTCGCGCTTGAACGTGGTTGCATAGTGTGCGTCCAGCAGGTCGGCCACGTCGCCGTACGAGACGGTGTCACCGGCCACGTAGACGACCTGTCTCTGTATGCCCTGCGGATCGAGGAGAATGTCCGCCGTGACGGTGCCAATGTCCGCGGGCGTCGTCACCGTGATGCGGTTGTCCCACTGCCCGAGGCCCCGCACCGTCCGCTGCGGCCGGTCCACCACGCCGAACGCGGCCAAAAACAAGAAGCTCATAAACAGGCCCGTCGACACAATGATCCAGTCGGTCGTCGTGTTGTCGGGCGACCGCAGCAAAGCGCGCACAGCCAGCTGCTCGTCAAACAGGTCCTGCGTGCTGCCCGCGCCGATGGCGTCGTAGTCCATGCCGAACTGCCAGGGCACGTAGCGCGGGACGCGGGCCTGCAGGGCGGCCTGGCTCAGCTTGGTCTGGGTGCCGGCGGGGAGGCCCATGCCGTTGCAGGAGACGACGGTGTGGTAGCGCCCAAAGACGGCGGCCAAGTCGGCCACGGACGCCGAAACAACGTCGGCCGTTTCGAAATGCACGTGTAGGTCGTCCTGCAGGTGCCGGAGCAGCTGGGCCCGGGCCGGGTCGGCCGCCGACGAGGATCCACGCAGCAGGACCGCGATCTTGGTGTCGCTGCGCTTCGGGTGGCGGGCCAATGCTTCAAGAACTGCGATGCCAAGCTCGCCGGCACCGAGGACCAAGATGCCGTCAGCCATTGTGGGAAACTAAAATATAGAGCACTTAAAATACAACACGACAGAGTTTGAATTGGTCGGAAGGGATTGCCTTTCCTGTATTTTCGTACGTCAAGACCTGAAAGATTGGCTGTCAAGCTGTATTTATAGGCTTTCATGACAGAGCTTGGCATCGGTTCATTTTGTCGAATTGGGAGTCGAAGGATCGCGGGCTTAGTATTAAGTCCGTCCCCCAAGACATTGTTTTTTCATCGACGATTCCAGAACAATTAGTCAGGAACTGATGAAGCTGATTGTGCCTAGCCAGACAAAGAGCAGTGGGAGACCGTAACGTAAATATTGTCCTATTTGTCCTATTTGTCCTGTATATTGTAAAAAATGATTTGGATGCTTTCTGTCTATAAATTTTTGTTTGTCACCAAGAACGACCCGCTAGTGACACTATAGAGCTCTTCACTTTTATACCCCTCCCGTCGCGGTAGCCGAATCATCGAGCACTATATTGCACTCCCCTGCAATGATCTGCACCGGATACACATCCAACCTTTTGCTAATACAGAGCTGAAGGGCGTCGTTCAGTCCTAGGTAGGTGCCCTGCACCGTGTTGTTTCCCCTGACGTACGTCCTTGCGGCCGTCCGTTTCGCCAGCCAGTTCTGAACAACATTTCTTTGCAGGCCCATGGCCAGCACGAGCCGTGTTGCATTGACAGTCTGGGCCTGGGGCCGGTAAGGTATTGCCCTTTCATTCCACCACAAGACGCTGTACGCGGGCGGCAGTGGCGCAGACAGAAAGAGGTAGTTTTTCAAGACATTGGGTGGCTCTTCTGGCGCAGGCAGACCGGGCATGACAAGCGGCGCAGGATCTAGGCCCAGCCTCTGGCACAGGAACCAGCCGTCTTCAAAGGGAATCCACGGCTGGCCGTGCCGCTGAGACACCACGCCGTGGCCGGCGAGGAGCCGCAAACAGGTGCTGCGCGTGGTAGCGTCTGCCTGGGCCGCCGTGCAAATGTCGGCGACATTCAACCAGCCATCCGCCGCGTCCGCACGGACTCGCGGTGCCTCGAAGGGGTCCTGATGTGGCAGCCCTGCCAGATCGGCGTCATTGAACACCGCGGCGTCCATGGTGCCGGTAGCCCGCCGGTCGCGCTGCCGTCGGTTTTGGAACCAAACCTGGATAGAGACAATCATTAACACGACGCAAGGCAGAGAAGAGAAAAATAGATGGACTAGGCGGCATGTCCTACCTGCAGTTGTTTCTTGTCCATCGAGACTGTCTGCAGAATACGAATGTAATCCGCATTGCTCGGTCGAGGATTCCATAGGTATTCTGTCTCGAGCAGCTGTCTATTGAGTTGTCTTGATAAGCCAAAGAGTAGGCCGGTTAGTTGGTGTCCGTGAGAGTTGTGTGCTGAAATGTACGACATGCAGAAACGGAAATAACTCACGACGTTGATTTCCTGCGCCGAATAGGTCTGCTGGTGGCTCGGGCGTCGCTGCCTGGCAGTTCTTCCACTCTCGAATCTTCGCCGTACTCGTCGTTTCCGTGTTCTTCGTTGCTTCCCTCATCATAGCCGTCATCATTGGCAGCATCGTCGTTGTCGTGGTCGTGGTCGCCGTTGTCAACATTGCCATTATCGTTGCCGTTGATTTCGTCATCATCAGCAGCTTCGTCCTGCACTTCCCCCTCCACTTCCGCGTCTTCGGCTTCCTCTGAATTGGCGTTTTCGTCCTCGTCAGCACCTCCTTCTGGCGCATTCTCGCCAGCGTCTCCTGTTGGCGTTCGCTCGGTCGGCTTACCATCCTGCCGCAAAGATGCACTGGCGCCGGGCATTGACTGGAACCAGCCATCATCGTGTGGAGAAGCGGAATTGCCATGTGCGCTACCTAATGCATATTCAGTGTCGACAGCACCAGCAAAGCCGCCGTTCTGGCTGTGCAGAGAGTCAAGTCCCCCCAGCGACGAAAAGCTCGGTGTCGTGTCAGACGCCGGCTCAGCGGCGTGGCCATCATCCTGTCCGAGTCGAGCGAGAGAGGAGAAGCCACCAAGGGCATGCATAGGGTCCAACCAGCAGCCGTCGTGCAAGTCCAACCCTGACTCGTCCTCGTCGTTCCCAGTCTGCTCTGGGGCCTGGCGGCCGCCATCTGAAGCCCATTGCTGCTGCACACTCCCGTACGAGGCCGTGTCTAGGATATCGCTGTCGGTGTCGACAACGTTACCCGATGAATTGTATTCCCAGCCTGGTTGGTTTGTTGCATCGCTCAGCACACTCGCTATCGACGACCGGGACGCATGGTGGCGCCGAGGGGAAGGCGGCGATGGCGCTGTGGACCTGGCGCTTCGTGTAGGACGGCCGCCTCGTGACGTGATAGCATGCGACTGCTTCTGGCGCTTCCGTCCTTCTGCCACAGACGACGAGGATTGGCGAGCACTGTGCCTGGCTGTCGCGTAAAGCGACGCAGCGTGGCGGCTATTGTGTGGACCCAGTTCTTCGGCAATGCCAGAGGTGGAGGCGTCCTCGTCTTGCAGCGGCGATGGCCCCGAAGCCGCTTCTGCTTCTGCGGGGAGCAGACCAGAGGGGGTGTCGGCGATTTCGGTGGCGATTTCAGATGCGTCGTGTCCCTCGCCATGCCATTGGCCAGGGAGGAAGATCTGCGTTTGCAGGTCTGGGACAAGGCCATGGGTGTCCAGAGCGTCGTCGAGATCGGAGCTGTCCTGGAAAAACCCGTGGGCCAGGCACTCGCGTGCCGACGGCCGGTCATCAGGACGGTCCGCAAGCAGGCGGACGACCAGGTCATACTGTGCTGGGGGGGACTGGTTGGTGGCGGCGAGCAGCTGTCTCTGCCGCAGGACAGCGCGGAGGCAGTCCCATGGTCCGGTGGCGTTTGTGAGGTCCACCGAAATCCCCAGCAGATTGAGAGCGACAACGCCCATCGCAAAGATGTCCACCTTGTTCGACCAGCGCCCGCGCCGCGTGAAGAGCTCGGGCGCGAGGTACAAGGGCGTGCCGCAGTTTGTTTTAAACGACGACACGTCGGTGGCAAAGCCAAAGTCGACGAGCTTTGTATGGATGGGATTGCGGCTCACCAGGATGATGTTGGCGGGCTTGACGTCCCTGTGCGTGACCTTTTTGCCGTGGAGGTACGCCAATGCCTCGAGCAGCTGCCGCAGCACTTCGCGTGCCTCGCCCATGCGCAGCGGTGCGTAGTTGTTTCTCGGATCCATGTATTCTTGGAGGTTGAGCCCCTCGACGTATTCCATGATGAGCTGCGGAGACTGGCCGGACACGTGGTTGTACGCCACGTACCGAACAATGTGTTCCTAGATCGTGCGTTGTTAGTGCGGAGATATCTCGAGTGCAAGTGGGAAGGCAGAACATACGTGGTTCAGGCGCTGCAACGTCGCCGGCTCTTGCCACCGCGCTTTCTCGGGCTTGTTGTACAGTTTCATGGCATACACATCGCCAGTGCGTCTTTCAACAGCTCTGTATACTTCACCATATGCTCCCCTCCCCAGCCGGCGATCCTGAACATAGACAGGCGGCTGTTTGGAAGCATTGGTAGTCTCCGGCTGTGTGCTCAGTCTTAGCTGGGCAACGCTCAAGGCACCGCCCACGCCGGCGTAGGTCTTGCAATAATTCTTCCATCCCACAGGATCGTCAAAGTGCTGGATTTGAAAGTGCAAATCGTTGCCGATTCTGATGTCTGCCGTTTCGAGATTCATCAACGCCTGGGTGCTCTTTAACAATTTTCTATGAGCCTCCCAGGAGAAATGAACCATGGTACCGTGTTTTGAAACATTTTTCACGATGAGGGTGCCGGCGTTTGCCTTCAAGTTCAGACGCATATGAATATGAGTATCGCTGATCCTGGCGTCGTTGAGCACGATGTCGCACTTGTCTATATTCTTGCCAATCACGAAGCCAAGAATATTGTCCTTTGGAATGTGGTCTGTCGTGACTCGAAGGATAAGAGGTGGGGACCAGTCAGGCGCAGGCGTGCCGTGGTCTCCGTAGACCGAGTCCGCATGCTGACTAGCAACATCGCCGTCTTCAGTTGGCGGTGTCTCGCTGGAAAAAAAATTCTTGTTATGTTCGCCATCAAGGAGCGCTAGGGGCCCCTTTACAATGAAAATGGTCTTGTGATCGGCCATTGTGAGACCCGGTACTGTTGTGTCGCTAGCTCGCGTGTTGTTTGAATACCGATGCTTGGACGAAATCAGAAGTGCAGAGGGAATAAAATGAGGAAATGAAGTGCGGTGTAGAGGTCAGTCTGCGAGAAAAAAGACAGTGAAAAAAAGACAGTGAGAAAAGAGCCTGTGAGAAGAGAGTCTGAGAAGAGAGTCTGAGAAGAGAGTCTGACAAGAGAGTCTGACAAGAGAGTCCGAGAAGAGACACTTCAATAGAAGAGACTACAAAAAAGAGACTACAAGAAGAGAGGAGAAACAAGCAAAAAATGAGTCTGGGGCGAGAAGAAATAAATAGAAAGAAAAAAAAGACCCGACTTGAAACGAGCATCTCTGTGAACGTTTCTCCTGCTCTGCAGCCTAGTTTTGCACATTCTTATATCGTGTTGATATGAATTTGGTTGGTTTGGAGGGTGCGAGTGTTGGAAGCGCTGTCAAGGACCCACACACACTAATTTGGTTGGCGCCCGTTGACCCGTCGAGGCGGTACGGGGCTGGCCGCAAGGCCGCCTGCCAAAGTGGAATAGAGGCAGAGCGCTTAAAATGAGGGGACTGCGACGCGACGAGAAGTGGCTGCATCTTCCAACGGCCGCATCCCAAACACGACGGCCAGATTATTGCCATCGCGCGCTCTCTTCCACCGCTGCCCACACAAGACAACATCTCTCCTTCTTCGAACTGCGACAACCACATCGCGATGGCCGCTTCCAAACCGGCCACCGCTGCGAGCCGCGCGGACTCCTCCAAAGAACGCATGCTTTCGCAGCGCCGGCACCACAGGCAACTAAACCAAGCGGCTAACGAAGTTAGCCACCAGTTGGCACACCTTGCGAACCTCGAACGGCCAGGCCTATGGATACTACACCACGAAGACCTCTATCGGCCAGGCATCGACACGCGGCCGCATTCTCGCGATCCTGATAGAGAGATTCCCCTCAGTCTTCCAGGCCTAAAGCAAGGCACCATTTGGGACGGAAAGGGACCGGCACCCGACTTTAACGACGTTGCGTTCTGGGAGGCAAAACGCAGCGAACTCGGCGAGAAGATCAAAGAGGTCGAGGCGGGGCGTGTGCAGCCTCGTTTTATGCCGGAGGAGCTGAAGACGATCGAGTCATTGGAGCAGCAGGCCGGCCATGTCTTTCATGCAGTACTGGAGACCAAACGGTGCGCCATACGAAATTCAAAGTTTGGAGTGTTCAACACGCTCTTTCTCCTTGCAAAACTCGGGCGTCCCGGGCAATGGATTCTGCACAACGAAGACCTCTACCATCCTGCCATCGATACCCGCCCAGATACACGCGCACACCAGACCAGCATCGTGATCCGCGATGCCACCTACGACGGCAGCACGCTGTTTTTGGGCGACGGCGAGCTTCTTATTAACTTTGAGCTTACCTGGCCTGGGAGCCTACCAACACCAGACTTTGCCGACCTTCCTTTTTGGGAAACAAAATTCAAGGAGCTGACCGGCAAGCTGATTGAAGCCGAGGAGGGACTTGTGCAGCCCCGTTTCACGCCCGAGGAGCTGCATACACTGGAGCTGCTGGAAGCCGACACGAGCCACGCTTTCGCAGTGTTTGCCAGAGAAGCGAAAGCCAATCCCCCCGTCAAGGACACGCCCGAATCGCGAGCGCGGGCGAAGTCGCTGTTTCTGTTGCAATCCAGATGTGTGAACCAACTGGAGTCGCTGTGGGACCACGGACTTGCTGGGAAGTGGGTGGTGCACGGCGAAGACTTGTATGTTCCGAAATACGACACGCACTTCCGCGAGCGCGACGCAGACGGCGAAGACGGCGCCGGTACCGGCTACGTGCTCATCGACAGCGACCTCGACCTTCGTTTGGACACCCGCTTCAAGCCGGCACCGCTCGACGACCTCGAGACGGTGGCCTACTGGGAGCAGAAGCTGGCCGCGCTGGGCAACACGTACGAGGACGTGCGCGCCGGCCGGTTGACGGCGCACCACTTCTCCAAGGGCGAACGGATGCGCATCGCGCTGCTTGACCGCGCCATCGACGAGGAACTCGAGGCGCTCAGCAGGGGTGCGACCAACAACACGGGCCGGCGCACGGACACGGTCGCAGCGTGGCTGGGCGGGGGCACGAACACGGCCGCCGCGACACCTTGGCCGGACGAGCCAGGACGGCAACGGACGCAAACACCGTCACCGCTGCGGAGTCTCAGCGATGGGCCGGCCGCCGCCGTTGGACCGCAGCGACAAGCAGCGGAGACGAAACGCAAGCCGGAGGCTCGGAAGAGAAAGCGCGCAGCAGACGAAGAGCACGAGCCGCCGAACCGTGGACGCGGGCAGCGCGCGACCAAGCGCAGCAAACAGCGCGGCGCTGCAACACCACGCCCGACCACAGGACGACGAGCGCGACCAACAGACACAGCCCCGTTGCGAAGGAGCGCTCGCATCGCAGCGCAGCCACCAAAAAGCTACAGATGACGCTGTCTGTGAGTGGCAAAGCGTATTTCAGGACATTTCTAGGACGCGCCGTTTTTGGCGTCATCAGAATATGGGACCCGCTCAGCTGTCGAGACGGCGACGCCCAAGCGGCCTCGGAAGGAGAGAGAATGGGAGATTTGACTTCAGAGGTGAATCCCACGAAGACAGCGTGGTGCAAAAGACGCTATCACCATGGCATTGCTGTATGCTCGCCAGGATCTACCGCTTCGGACTCTCTGATGTCCTCCCAGCGAACTTGTCTGGGCGGTACCGGCGCAGTCCCTGTATGCTGACTCCTTTATTGGTACTTACCGGCGGCTGAAGGGCATATCCTGTTGAGTCCTTTCTCGTGTGCAGAGCATGCCTTCCGTGTGGCAGCTGTTGGACTGCCGGGGGGGCAGCGATCCTTGTACCATATAATTGTGTCTTTAAGCATGCTGTTAAAATGCGGCTGCTTGCCAATAAAGGCCCCCTTACGTACTACCGTAACAGAGGGCCTGTTTCGTGCGTCCAAATAAAGAAATTGCAATACCAAAAGCCTACCAACCGGACCCTAAATTCAAGATCCAAGTACAAGTGCGATTTGACAAGCAATACGACCAAGCCATAGAGCAGGTCAGGCCGGTCTCAGGATCATGGTCGAATCGTTCTGCATGTAAACTGCTTGCCGGACTCGCTGTAAGAGGCGGAAATGATGAATCTGAAGATCACGATGCGTGGACAGAAGGGTATACCGAAGCCAATGAACTCCAGGCGGCACGAATTGGCATTCGGATCGCATGCAGTCGTATTGACAAATTGTCGGATATGGACTAGCGCTCTGGTACATTTGATGACTAATATTCCAGGACTCCACTCAGCGCCTGTCCCATACCTCGGCAGTGTGATTAGCGATTAGCAGCAAGCATCGCACCTGCCATGTTAGCACATGGCTGCAACCAATTTCAGCTCCATCCAGAAAACGAAAGAGCGACACAGCAAACAATAACACTGCAAGCAACGACACGACAATACCCACGCGTTTCGCTTCAGTCGCCGGCAATTGCGCGCACGCACAAAGCAGCCGACGATGGCGACCGAGCGGCTGCTCAAGACGACGCTCGCGCTGTACCACGACGGCGGCCATCCACACCATCCGCAACCACCCAGCGACCGCATCTTTGCCAGCACCACCTCGCTGCTGACGACGCTCACAAATCCGCTCAATGTCACGCTCCTGACCTCGCACTTTCTGACGGCCCCGGCCATCTGGGGCCCGCTCGCGGGCCCAGCGGCCACAGCCTCGTCCGAATCGGCCGCGCAGACGTGCTTCCGCGTCGTCAGCGTCTTCAACACGGCCGGCCTGCACGTGCGGCGGCACGAGCTCGAAGAGGCAGCGGCCCACCGGGCAGGGCTGGCCGGGTCGGCGGCGTACCGGCGGGGCGTCAAGGAGGACCGGCGGCCGGGAAGTGAAGACTGGGCGCGGGCGGTGGCCCAGGGCGCCGACGGCAAGTCGCCGCGCTGGCGGCATTTGTTGGTGCTGGTGGGCGTGCTGTTGGGGCTGGGTGGCGGCGACAAAACGTCTCCGCAAAAGCAAGCACAGACGCAAGAGACGCTGTCGCGCAGCCGGCGGGCGGCCCTGGAGCAGGGCGTGGTGGCGGCGGCCAACCTGGCGCTGGCGGAGCACCACCACCCCGAGGACCCCGAGCACGCGGTGAGCCGGTACGCCGTGGTGATGGGCCTCAACTACGCGTTGTCCCTGCTGTCGGAGCACGCACGGGCAAACCTGCAGACGGACGCGCTGCTGCCGGCGATCGCCGACGTGCTGGCCGGACCGTTTGGGTTTGACGGCGGGCGGATCGTGGAGGCGGTGGCGCGTGACCCTCTCGTGTCGCTGCAACCGCCGCCCAATAGCGGCCTGCACTGGCCCGAGGCGTCGGGGTCGTTCCAGCACCTGCGGCGCCGCGAGACACAACAGGCCCTGTCGATTGTGGCCAGCGCGGGCCCGCTCGCGACCATGGCGGCGTTTGCCGTGGAGCGTGCGGCATCGCCGCAGGCCGTGCTGGTGGTGCTTGACGCGCTGCTGGCCCTGGCGGACTCGGCCGGCGCGCGCTGGACCGCGGCACGGATACTCCATAGGCCCGCCCTCGCACCAGCAGAAGGGGCAGCGGCGCTCCTCAGTGCCGAGACGGCACAGACGACATGGCCGCTGCTGTGGCAGCACCTCAAGAAGATTTTGTACACGGCGGCGGTCGTGCTGCAGGCCATTGTCGGACGCAGCCTGCTGGACCGCGCGCTGGCCTCGGACAGCGTCGCGCCGCAGCTGGCGGTCAAGGCCCTGCGCGTGCTGCACGGGCTGGACTTTGTGGCGTCGCACGACGGCGCCGGCCACTTCCAGGCGTACCAGTTTGCCTATCTGGCGTCCATTGACATTCTGGCGCGTTATCCGCGTGCCGCGGCAGAGTTCTTGAGCCAATTGGTGGCTGCCCGGCCACCTGCTACGACTGCTACGACAGACGACCCTCTACGGTTAACATCCGACCTCTTCTACCTTAACCTCGCCGAGCACTTTGCCGCCGTCCTGCCCGTCGAGGACTGCGACCGCCTCCTCATCCAGCCGGCGCTGCCGTACGTGGCGCCCGCGACCGTCTCCGCCCTGCCCTCCCACATTGCCTACTCGCCGCGCATGGTCGAGGTCTTTGAGGCGGCACACAGCGCCACGCTCTCTGTGCTGTCGTGCCCACACAACGCTGCCATTGCCGCCGCCCTCGGCCCCGTGTACGCCGAGGCCCTCTTTGCGTCGTTCCCCGCGCGCATCTCTGCGCGCCAGTTCCGCCTCGCGTTCAAGACGCTCATCCAGATCCTCTCGCCGCCGTTCCCCGTGTACGCGACGCACCCCGACCTCGCCGAGACGCTGCTCGAAATGGTCCGCTTCAAGGCCCTGGGCGCCGCCACCGTCCCCCTGCCGGCCAACCCGAGCGAGGCGCAGGGCGAGCCTCCTCTCGCGTCGAGCAGCAGTGCCGGGCTGGTGACGGAACAAAGCGCGCTCGTGCTCACGCTCATTGACGCCCTCCCCTTCCTGGCCCTGCCGGTGCTCGAGGAGTGGATGACCACGGCGGCCGAGACCATATGGTGCATCCAAGACGCCCATGCGCGGGGCGGCCCCCTGCGGCAGGCGGCCCAGCGCCGCTTCTGGGAGGTCCTGGGCGGCGGCGAGATGGACGTCGAGCGCGCCGCCATTGGCGTCGCGTGGTGGGGCAACGGTGGCGGCGGCGAGCTGGTCTTGACGGGCCAGCGCGGCGGTGCGCGGTTTGCGCAGCAGCGGGCGACGGCGGCGACGACGGCGGCCGGCGGGCCCGTGGTCATGAGCGGTGCGCTGCCCGGGCCCCCGGCGAACAAGCTGTAGGGACTCGAAGGTTGGAGGGGGCAGGGATCATGGTGTATATTACTGTAGCATAGCATGGGTTTCTGTAGGCTCTTCACCGATACCAAAACGACGATACCGTGCAACGACTGTGTGAGCGCATGCCAAGACTGCCAAGCTGCGGATGTCCAGAGCTCTGGCCAGCTACGATCTCCATGTTCCTAGTGACCGTGCCTGCGGGGCGTGTAAAGCGCATCTTTCCTCACGTCATAGCTTGTATGCGATGGTGTCCTCTATCTTTCGCGCGCACATTGCTCTGCGCCTTCCTCGCGTTGTTCTACTTCTCTACTCTCTGTCTCCAGCTCTTTCCCAGTCTGCACATCTCGGCCCCCGGCATCACAGTGTCACAGCCCCTAGTGGGCAGGCCACGCAATGCCTCTTTCCTAGATGGGTAAATTCATTTTCCGTCTCGTTCTTTCCTTCAGCCCTTCCTTCGTTCTTTCTCTTTTCCCTCCAAGTAGGAGGTCGTCTATCTCCTTTTTGTCGATATGGCGTGATTTGAAGCGACTCTTCAAACTTGTATGTTTCTGGGCATCGTCTGTTGAATCCAAGGAACAGAACCAGGGCATGAAGAGACAAAAGAAGAAGCGTCAAGTGCCGATCGATGGCAGTGTGGTTGAAGGAGTGGAAAAAGAAACATGTTCCGGAAAGTGACGAGACGTGAAGGGATGATGGATGATGGATGGTGGAAGATGAGAATCCGGGATAATCGGCTGAGCAGATGAGAGCCCTGGAGGCGATCCCGATCGACCCATGTTCGGCGCACAACGCTGTTGGACCAGACTGAAGAAGGTGGGCAGCTTGGGAACAGCGACGGCGTCGGCGAAGATGACAGAAAGGGTGTCGTCAAGTTTGAGAGATAGCGCGTTCGTCCAAAGAGTTGGAAAAAGTAAAGGGGACGAAAAAGTGGACCAGCCGCAGCAAGAGCGGGAAGCGACTAAACCATGTCCAGCTGAAAGTAGAAGGAGGAGGGCAATGCAATGACACGGACAACATGGGATATCTTGTTTCCCACTTTTCCTACCATTCCCAAGCTCACAAGCTCCCAAGCTAAGCAACTACTCCACTTGGTCCCTCAAGCGTCAAGCCCGTCCATTTCCTCTGTGACGTTCATCCCCCATTCTCTTGCGTCCTCGTTCACTCCCTACTCCCTCATAGCTCAAACTGCTCTGCCCCTCATCTGCCCGTCCATCCCGTCGTAGCCCTTGCTGGGCCCACGGGCTCTCGATCTTGATGGGTCGGTGGTAGGGGAAATGCTACCAAGCTGTGGCTTCTAGGCCGCCCAGGCCGCCCGCCCGCTGTCTATCTGCTCTGGACGCCAGTCCACGCTCCGCCAAGAACGGCCAGATTTCACTGAGCCTGGTCTCTGGGCGCGGCGCGGCGTTGCATTGCCTTTCGTCCCTCCCACGCTCCCAGTTTTTCTTGGCAACGATCGCTTGTTACAGAACTGACCGTCTTTAAACTTTAAGTTTGTCAAGCTCTCTGTTCCCAGACGAGCCAGAGCAAGACAGCGATTACGACATAAACACTGCGACGTGATGCTCTTTCGCACTCGCGCTGTTCATGACATGTGCAAACACTCGAAGGGCGTTTCATAGGATCCATTTGGTTCGACCCGTTTTCTGTAGACCATCGCGATCTCGTCCAAAACGGGCTACATTTCCATTTCTGCCGTTCCTGTTGTTTCCTCTGTTTCCTCTGCTTCCTCCGGAGTTCTGTCGACTCAAGCTAGCAGAGCCAATGGCCCCTTCTCACCACCACTGAAGTCTCATTTGCAGACGACAGCGTGCATTACCCCTCTTCTTTTCGGCGTCGACGCCCTCTTTGTCGCGCTCTGCTTCAACATCGACAAGCATATTTTTTGCTTCCTTTTTTCATTACACGCCCCCCTCTCTTCCACCCCCCCTTGTCATCTTTCGGCATCACTTGAGCACATGAGGTATTTTCTACTTTGTTCTGCAGATTGACGACTGGTTGACGAGACAAAAGGAGACAAAACAAAAAGAGATCGCACAGAGCAGAGGATAGCCGACGGCTGGCGGCCTACGGGACTAGAGTAGCCGCAACTAAAGGCCTATCGAGGGCCGGGCGTTTGAAACAGGCCGCCAGTCCGCTCAAAAAGAGAGTTCGTTGGCCCCTAGACAACCGCCAGCACATATGAGCAATAGCAATTCCACGTACAGATATGGCACAAAATAGAATTAATTTCAATGGTGCCTGGAGCCGCCGTTCAAGCGTGGTCAGCCCAAAGAAATAGTACTTCATCGCGTATATTGCCGCACATGTTACTTTCCGTACACGCACGTACATCGCAATTAATACGATGTATGCACGACCTGTAGCTGCAATGCACAATGTTACGCCATGCTGCCCACATGGGAGACGTCCAGCTCGACCAGGCGAGGCCCACCCGTGCAAGATACGATCTGTCCGTCACAGGAGAATTCTCAAAAATATCATCCGTGGATCCATTCCGTCGACATCGTCCTAGTTCACAATATTAATATTAATAAATCCATTTTGTAATACAGTCTTTGCCCTATTGGCCTTGTGAGACATGGTCTCTCTTCCGATTACCGTTCTAGAAAAGGAAAAGCACCAGAACCCCTCTCTGGCAATGCCTCTTCTGAAGGTCCATAGCTCCCCGCTTTCATCACAGGAATGAAGCTCAAGATATGCACACGCAATGTCCATGAAACATTGGAAGCTGTAAAAAATAAGGATATTACCAGACAGCCAATGCACGAACAAGACATGCTGCGTAACTCGTTCACCATCCAATGCTGTCTTTCCGTCCATAAAGCTGTATATGGCAACCAAAACGATGTAAAGCACCGTCTCACGATAATCGATTGCGAACTGGCGGTCCGCAGGGCAGTGCACACGTTTTCATCCCAGCTGCCAGCTGTTGCCGACGAACCTAAAGAGGACGAAAGAGCACACCATGCTGGCGTGAAATGAGGATCCCACATGACAATATATGAGCGAACGGGACCTAGACCATGACGAGACAGAGAATGGCTTGTTCGTTGCTTGTTCGTTGCTTGTTCGTTGCCCCTCCATCGTTGCTCTCCCCCCTCTCCCCCCTTTACCAACTATCCCTTTCAGCTCGATGATCCCCTCCCCGCCCTCTCAGTGACCAGTGACGTCGATGGCCCTTTTTTCTTCTGATTCCTTGTCAATATTCCTTTTAATTTAGCCATTTTGCGTGATGGGCGACCTGGACCCCCTAGCTCGGCGCCCCTCTTTGTTCACTTCAACCAGGGTGTAGCACCCTTTCATCGTGTAAGTGCCCCAAGACCCACCAAGGGATCGACCTACGCCTCTTACATACGTTGTGCACTGCCTAGCTCTCCTGTCCAAAGTATGTATCGTCCCGGTTGCCCCATTCGACGACAGCTGAGCTTCCCCGGCCAACCTCTCCATTGAGGTCATTGCCTCTGAAAGCTCCCTCTTTCCTGCCCCTCTCCTCGTAACGGTCTCTGTCCCTCATTTTCATTCTCCTCTCCCGTGCCACGCTCGGAAACATATGAGTACATAAGTACCTGTCAGCTTCCCCCCTTCCCCTCGAGCTTCCCGTTTCTTGTTTCTTCTTTCACCCCTCATCATCATCCTCAATTCCTTCTATCCACAAACCACTTCCTATCCCACCCTTCACAATGTCTTACGGCAACGACAACAACGACGTGAGTCCACACCCCACTCATGACAGTCCATCCACCCGTGACCATCGTCGCTAACAATGCAGTCTGGCTACGGAGGCAACTCCGGCGGCTTCGGCGGCAACAACAACGATGACAGCAGCTTCGGTGGCTCCGGTGGCCGTGGCGGCCGCAACGACGACAACAGCTTCGGCTCGTCGGGCAACTCGGGCAATTCGGGCTCGGACAGCTACGGCTCCGGCAACTCGGGCTCCGGCAACTCGGGCTCTGGTGGCTTTGGTGGCAGCTCCGGCGACGACAGCTATGGCTCGTCGGACAACTCGGGCAGCCGCGGCGGCCGCGGTGGCGACGACAGCTACGGTTCGTCGGGCAACTCCGGTAACCGTGGTGGCCGTGGCGGTGACGACAGCTTCGGCTCGTCGGGCAACTCGGGCAACTCGGGCTCCGGTGGCTTCGGTGGCAGCTCTGGTGACGACAGCTACGGTTCGTCGGGCAATTCGGGCAACCGCGGCGGCCGCGGTGGCGATGACAGCTACGGCTCGTCGGGCAACTCCGGCTCGGACAACTTTGGCTCGGGCAACTCGGGCTCCGGTGGCTTCGGTGGCAGCTCCGGCGACGACAGCTATGGCTCGTCGGGCAACTCAGGCAACCGCGGCGGTCGCGGTGGCGACGACAGCTACGGCTCGTCGGGCAACACCGGCTCGGGCGGCTACGGCGGCAACAACAACGACAACAACGACAGCAACTACTAAGCGCTTGGTCGCACGTAGTTTCGTTTTACTGAGAAAGGCCGTCGACGGTCAATGCTCCCTTGCCGGATTCTGTCCCAGAGCAAGGGGCGCCGGGCTGTTTTTGAGTTGAGCAGGAAACTCCAGGTAGCACCCTATTCTTTTCTTTTGTCTCCGAACATCCAATGAAGTATAACAAAGCACCAATTATGTCGTGCATTGAAATCCAAGAACATATGCATCTTGAAAATGACTGTGACCAAAAGAATCCGTATTGAACAAAAGCAAATGTATGAAATAAACGCCTTGTGTAGCCTTGTGGGTCAATCGTCCCAGGAAAGAATAGAGTGACAAGAGGGCGGGAAATAGTAGGACAGACGCACGGAATAAAACACCGCTATAGACTTTAGATACACTCCCCGCATAGACTGTTGTTTAGGGTAGAAAAGGTGCGAGAGAATGGCACGGGGGAGAGAAAGAGAGACAGAGGTAGTTGAGTAGTGCGTAGAGTAGGTGGTTGTAAAAGGAAGCGGAGCCATCGAGGACGCCACGACGCCCCCTCCGAAATATAAAAAAAATGTAGAGAGGCCGTCTAGAAGCAGGGAAAGGAGAGAAAGTAGATCAAGGGGCGATCAGAGCACACTTAGGAAACGGATACAAGCTCGAACAATGGCAGTCTAGACATAGGCAATCGCCAATGCAGCGCCCACAACGACAAGCGCTGTTGTGGCCGTCGCCATACCCATGCCCAGACCGCCGGCAGGGAGTCAACAGATCTTGAGCCCGCACACCTCGATGCCCTTGCTTTCCACGTGCACGGCATGCTGGCTACGTAGCCCGCTGCCGACAGAAAAGTACTGCTGCGCGATATCCCGGACAAACGCAGCGTCCGCCTGGCTCCACACATCCAAGCCCATGCGCGAGACGGCATCGCTGTCGACGCGGAGGGTATGAGTCGAAGGTTGCGGGTAGAGCCGAGCGTGGCCGCGGTCGTTGTTGTTGTTGTTGTTGTTGTTGTTGTTGTTGTTGTTGGCATTGATGTTGCGATGTCGTCGCGCCGAGGAGGATGACGATGCACGGCCACCACGTCTCCTCAGAAGAAGCGCTGTTGACGACGATGCGGCGCCGGAAAGACCGCTACGGCGCGCATCTACGAGGTCATCGTCGTCGGACGACCGACTGGACTGACCGACTATACCATCGCCTTCGCCACTGCCGCGGGCCGCATTGGTTGCATCATCATTGTCATCGTAATCATCATCATAATAGGCACCCTCGCCGTCGTCGTCGTAGTACGCGTCCTCCTCGTACTCGTCGTCATCGCTGCCCTCGACAATGTCCGACAGCACCGAGAGAATCTGCGTGGTAAGGCGGTGGAAGTAGGTAATAATAGCAAGCTCCAGGCGAGCACGCTCCTCGCCCTCATTGTCGTCGTCGTCGGTGTCATGATCATTACTACCGTCCATCTCGTCCGCTGGTGCCCGCCCTGCCGTCAGGGACGTGACCGAGTCGAGGAGGTTGGCATTCGCAGAGGGCGACTGGGGATTGTCAGATGGCGCCACTTGTGGCCGAGGAGGCGAAATGTCGGCCAGAAGCTGTGCATCATGAATCGTCTCGTCTGTTTCCCCAGACCGGCTTTGTTCACCGGCACTAGCCCACCACATGAAGCCGTGGTATGCCAAGGCGGCCCAGGTTGTCGGCTCCACGATAGATTCGGAAGCGTCGGTGAGTTGTGCGTCTGCTTGACTCGAGAGCGACTCGCTGCGGCCTGCCAGCCTCTCCAGGCCGGCCACCAGCGCTTTGTAGCGGCGCAGGTCACGCTGGGTGGCCTTGAGTGGCACGCCCTTTGCAATCTCGACCGTAGGCCAGATTTTCTCAGATTTGCTGTCTTTGACACCCGCCGTTCGTGCTGACGAGGACGGTGACGGCTTCACTGGTGATGCTTGGTGGGCACTTGCTGGAGGTGGCATTGTAATCAACACGTCCCAGAGGTCGCTCTTCATGGCCAGGATGCTGTCGGTGGTACAAGCAATCCAGCCCGGTCCAGGGTTTGCGGGGTTGCTGTTGTCGAGCAGGTTTGCTCCTCCTGCCTCGGCAGCGTCGCGTGTTGCCCGTTTCGAGGCGGCTAGGTCATCCATCAGGAAGGTAATGTCGTTGACCCCGATGGTAAATAAGGGACGGATGCGTTGGTGGGCGACGGCCGAAGGTTCGACGAGATCAAGGGCCGAGTTGGGAACATTCGCCAGGACCGAAATGTTGTACACTAGCCTGTTAGCAGAGAAAGTACAGCATGTCGACTGCACACCACAGAGACATACCGAAATTGTTGGTCTCCCGCACGGGCGCGTGGGTCGAGATCAGGATTCGCTTCCGCAGCAGGGCCGCGCGGTAGATGGGGAAGATGAGAGGGCCAAACGTGTCGAGCAGCGTCGTCAGGCTCCAGGCCGGATGGTGCGGCGACAGGCGGTGGCCAGGGGGTAGAAGGAGGGCGGTTCCGTCCGAGACAGAGCGGCTGCGCGAATGTTTTGGCACTGCCAATGAAGGTTGCGGCCGGTAGCCCATGGGCGGGGGAACGGGCACGGCAGGCGAGCCCAACGGCGAATCGGCGATTTGGAGCAGTGGACGCTCATCCGCCACGGGAGATGTAGCACTAGCCGCGCCCGTCGAGCCATTTTTGAGCCAGTACGCTTCCAGCAATGGCACCTGCGTGTTGTCGGCAGCCAACTGTCGAGCCATGTCCATCAACGCTGCAGCGTGTCGCCATGCACGGCCAAGCCGGCCGTAACTGCGCCGGACCAGCACACCGACGGCAATCATGCGCGCGTTGCGGGCGCCCGCCTCTTCGGTCGGCAGGTTGACAAACGCGCTGAGGCCTGCATAGCCGGTGGTGTCGGAGGGGGGCGTGCTCGATGTCGAGCCAGAATCGCCGTTGCTAGCCTCTTCATGCACAAAGTAGATGAGATCTTCCGACACGGCGTGCAGACCAGACGGCAGGCTCTTGTACTCGACAGCACCACTCAGGTCCAGCCCGGGTGTGGCCTGCTTCCAGACAATGGTGTAGCCGGCCTTGACGTCAAATTCGATCAGAAAGAGGGCAGCAATCGGCGGCCGGTCGGGGAGCAGTCCCGCAGGTGTGATCGGAGCCGGCACTGCATTCTCGCGCCGCGGCGTCGAAGGTTCCGCCATGCTCGATGCCATCGCGTCTGTCTGGTCTTGTTTTATTGATCGATGCTGGCTCCTCAGGCACCGATCGTCCAATTCCGAGTCGAAATGTACCCGGACGGCCTATCGTCGTCCGTCGATGCAGTCGTCTCGGTGTGCCGTAGCCCCTTGGCAATGCTCCGTTTCTTTCTCTATTGTGCGATGTCTGCACGTCGCAGAATCCAGGACCGAGGCAGTCGGATGGGGCCAATCGTCATAGCGTGGGACAGGCTGGCTGTCGAGACGTGTGGTTTGTTGTCGTGAGGCAGCCCCATAGTCGCCAATTGACTTTGGTGGAATCTTCCATGTTTTGTTTGGGGAAGCTGCGCCCTGTCGGCTATTGTAAGCTACAGTGTGCATAGGCAACATAGCTCTAGTTGGCACTGTGAACCCTGGCAGAGGCACAACGCAAGAGCCACCCATCCTGGCTAAGGCCAGTTCCTCGGCTTCCCTACGAGTGCCTGGATTTGAACCAATCACAGTGCCAAGATGCAGGCATATGGTCCCCACGAGAGTCACAGCTCTTTCCCTACCAGGCAATTGCACTGTCCCCTTTCCAGTGACATCAACAAAGGCCTACTGTCGAGGATCATACTTTTATTTTGTCAATTACGTGTCCGTATTCGCTTCAAATATGGTTGCGTATTATATTACTTATGCTCCTATTGCTCGTAACATTTCCTGCTGCTGTGGACACCATTCCGCCGTCCTGAAAGCTTCAGCAGCTTTTGGCTCGTGCCTTGCTCGTGCCTTCCCCATTCGGCAGGGCCCCGCCATCCCAACAAAACGTTAGGCGAAGAGAAATTCTCCATTTAAAAGTTAAAGAAATTTAAATAGTTTATCCGTTGAAAACGATCCCTGCCTGCCACTACAACAACCTCAACTTCCACCGCCTCCGACGATACTCTGTACGCGACACCGATCGTCTCTCGCTTCCTCGGTCGTCTTGCACAGTCACAGCCGCAAGGATCTTGCAATCTACAGAGCCCTCTCGACAACCTCTCCGCGCCCGCCACTCACTTGTTCCGCAACGTCGCATTCGGACCCTGCCTGAAATAGCACCCGCCATTTACCGTCTTTGGGGTAACCGAGAAAGACACAGTTTGAGTGGCTGGCTGAGACTCAACCCCCAAATTTGTCGTTTCTGCGAGCGTGTGCCAGTGTACGGAGTAACTGCGGTGTGAGCAGCCCTCGATCACAAGCCAGAAAATCACAGAAATCACAGAGGACTTAGCGCTCAGCTGGGCGAAACGAAAGTCTGCAGTTCTCCCCAGCCCACGACGCTTTCTACAATACCCTCTGCCTCGCCATCCCTCTCCCCATTTCAACACCGAACTCGTCGACCACGATGGTCGCCGTCCTCTCTGCCGTCGGCTCGGCCCTCGCGTGGTTCCTGGTCCGCTATTTAATTGTCGTCGTCATGTTCTACTTGCTTGCCTACGTCAGCCCCCTCGCCGGCTTTGCCGCCCGCATCCTGGCCTCGTGGATCGCCCTCGTCTCCTGCGCAATCTACGGCGTCTTTGCCTCCATCGCCCTGCGCTTGTCCGGCGGCAACCGCTGGCAAAGTGCCCAGTGGGCCACCGCCCGTGCCTTCAAGCTCACCATGTCGCTGCTCACGGGTATCACGTTTGAGGTGGAGGACCCCCACGACTACCTGGGCGGCACACGCCCGGCCGTCTTTGTCGGCAACCACCAGAGCGCCCTCGATGTCTTGATGCTGGGCTGCATGTTCCCCAAGTACTGCAGTGTCACGGCCAAGAGCTCGCTGCGCAACTACCCGTTCTTGGGCTGGTTCATGCGCCTCAGCGGCACCATCTTCATCGACCGCGCCAATAGCAAGGACGCCCGCACCGCTATGCGCGGTGCCGCCGATGCCATCCTGTCGCAGCGCCAAAGCGTCTACATGTTCCCCGAGGGCACCCGCAGCTATGCGCAGGAGGCCACGATGCTGCCCTTTAAGAAGGGCGCCTTCCACTTGGCCGTCCAGGCCGGCGTGCCCGTTGTGCCCGTCGTCGTCGCCAACTACAGCCACCTCTACTCGACGGGCAAGCTCCGTTTCCTGCCGGGCAAGATCCCAATCAAGGGTACGTTCTTCATCGTACATGCATCCCCTTTTCGTTTTCTTTTTTTCGTTCCATGACTCGTCAACCAGCTCCTAACGTTGTGTAGTCCTCGAGCCCATTCCGACCACCGGTCTCACCACCGACGACGTCACCGCGCTCACCGAGCGTGTGCGCGAGGCAATGCTCCAGGAGCTTGGCCCGCTGACCATTCAGGGCCGTGCCCAGGCCCTGGCGACCGCCACCAAGGGCAGCAAATCAGCACCCATCGCCGTCCCGGCCCCAACGACAGCAGCCTCCGACAAGGGCACCTCGAGCGGCGTCTCATTATAGCGTGGCCCTTGCCCAACAACGACGAATACAATACAATTATTAACCAGCCACCCATAACGGCATCGCCTGACAGCTTCTGGACCGTGCTGTTTCTGCCACGACATGGGCCATGTACTGTCAAATCAACCCTCCTCGACGGGATGATTCCTGACGAATGCATCGCCGACAAGCTTCTTGTCATCAAACGTCTCACCCAAGCTCGTGAAGACTTGCTTTAGAAAATGATTTATGTTTTGATTTTTGCGCCCATATTTTGATTGTTCTATTCTGAGCTTTATACTTATACACTCTGCATTTTGTTGGCTTACCTTATGCTTACCTTGTTCACATCACCGTCTTGGAGTCTTGCATCACGTGGTATACAGCATTATTAGAAAGAAGCAAACCTGGCTGCTATGCAACTATACAGCCACAACAGAGTTTATTGTGCTGTGCGTCATCGAGGCCTCACATATCAATGTGCGAGATAATGAAGATGTCTTTTGGAGGTATTCCTGTGACGTACCTTTGCACAGCCGTGGTATCAAATCTGCCTCGGCGTTGGCCTTTGGATTCCACCGTCATCTGTCTCTGATCTGTGTACGGTTGGCGGCAATGAAATAGTACCAAATACTAGATGTCCGTGGTGATTGACTCCCTTGATGGCAGGGTCAAAAGCGATGCTTGTGGGATTGAAGTACATCTGTCGCCACCTGTGCACAGTCCAACTATTCTGGATAGTTCGTTGCACGTCGTTTTTGCCCCAACGACGCCATTCACGGTGGCTATTAGTAAAACACTGTAAGCTTCGCAGTGGGTGGAAGTACTGGGAAGGAATAGCACCTTGTTTTCAGCTGTTTCTCGTTCCCCCTATTCTACCTCTTCTACTGCGGTTTGTTTACCTTGGGCATCGAATTCTGTAACCCTGCAAAAATCAACATCTCAACACCAAAGGCCGACTTACTCTCCATAAGTGGTCCATTGGATTTCTATGTGTACGGGTCGTTGACCAGCTTTATTCTAGTTAAGATACAGAAATTGGCAATTTATAATAAAGCAAAAACCATTATCTGTTGTTCCATTTCTCTTAGTTGTATATTAAACATTAATTCAGTGTGCGTGAAAGTGAAATGCCAAGACCCTCCCAAACAAGAAAAGGAAGAAAACAAAAGGAATGAAAAGAAAAGGAAAAAAACTAAACAAACCAAATACTACATGCCAAATTCGAGCACGAGTGTGTGCCAAGTCGTGACAGCAATCAAAGTATTGCCAAAAATCAATAAAATTCAAAGGGCAGGCGTACGCAACGCTCCGTTCTTCAAAGCCACCCACTCCTCTCAGTACATCGTCTGGGGAAAAAAAGACTACAAGGAGACAAAAAAAACCCAGAAAAGGACGGAAACGGAACGGTCTCTTCCATGAAATCAAAACAGAGCTCTTGATAAAAGCAAAGACAATGGAGAACCATGGAACGAAGCCTTACCTGCCACATCACTTAACGCCAGCCTCCCAAACGCCAAAGTTCCCAAACTCCGAAGACCCCAAACACCAAAGTTCCCAAACACCAAAGTTCACAAGTCCCAAACTCCGAAACTCCTAAACTCCAATACTCCAGGTTCGACCCTGTTCTCCAGACACTTTGTAGACGAGGAAGAAAACCCCAAAACAAAGTATGCAAACAGAATGTCAAATCATTGGGCCTTCAAACTGATTGAATTGCTCAAAGAACTGCCACTCTCCATCGCACTTGTGCTGGTCGTGGTGGTCGGGGTGCCTCGCCGAATCAAAATAAAGAGAAAATGGCGATGCTGAGACGATGCCGACGCTTTATAGCAGCAGGACCACACTGGTCAGACCGGCCAGGAGACCGACAAACGTGGTCGCCTTGGCTGAGGTGTGGAAGGCATCGCTGGTGGGAACAGTGGGCGGCTTGTTGGGGCTGCCGCCGTTGCCGTTGCCGTTGCCGTTTCCGTGACCGCCAGGGCTGCTGGAGGAGGCCGGGCCGGGGTGCTCAGGGGCACTGGTGCCGTTGCCATGGCTGGGGCCGGGATGGCTCCCGGGAGATTCGGGAGACTCGGGAGACTCGGGAGATTTGGGAGACCCAGGAGACTCAGGAGACTCGGGAGATTTGGGAGACCCAGGAGACCCAGGAGACCCAGGAGACCCAGGAGTTCCCGACGTGGAGGGCGAGCCCGGAGCCGGGGGCGGAGGAGGAGCTCCGCTCGGATGGGTCACCACGGCAGCCGGGTTCGACGGGACGGTGCCGTTGCCCTGATGCCCAGGGGTCACAGGAGTGGTGCTGTTACCACTGGGGCAAGGCGTCGGAGAAGTCGGCGGGGTGGTGCTGTTACCACTAGGACAAGGTGTCGGAGAAGTCGGCGGGGTGGTGCCGTGGCCCTTGGTACCAGGCGCCGAAGGCGTAGTGCTGTTACCACTGGGACAAGGTGTCGGCGGCGTCGGCGGAGCGGTACCGTTGCCCCCATGGCTAGAAGGGGGGCCCGTTGGGGTGGTCCCATTGCCCTTGGTACCGGGAACCGTAGGGGTAGTGTTGTTACCACTAGGACAAGGTGTCGGCGTAGTCGGGGGGGTAGTGCCGTTGCCCTTGTGGCCAGGCCCAGGGGGACCGGAAGGCGTGGTGCCGTTGCCCTTGTGACCAGGCCCAGGGGGGCCGGGAGGAGCGGTGCTGTGGCCCGTGTGACCAGGCCCAGGGGGGCCCGGAGGGGCTGTCCCATTGTTCTTGTGCCCAGGCCCATGGGGACCTGGAGGAGCAGGCGCTGACGTTGTAGGGCCAGGCGGGCACTCGGTGGTGACAGTCCAGACCGAGGTCGAGTGTCTATGATGTCAGCACAAAAAGAATCAAAACAATTTCAAAACAAAAGGGACATTAACTAGGTAGGTCGTACGTTGTCACCGGAACAACGCTTCCGGAGCTGGTGCTGTGGGTGGTCACCGGGCAGATGGACGTCGTCACGTAGGTGGTCGTCGTCACAGGCGGTGGTGGCGGCGCCGTCGTGTGCGAATGATGGGGGACAGACGAGTGATGCGGGATGGACGAGTGCTTATGCGTGGTGGTGTGCGGAGGCGGAGCAGGGGTCGTGGAGGTGGTGCAATCCGAGCTCCAGGTCTCCGAGCTCCAGGTCTCCGAGCCCCAGGTCTCCGACGTCCAAGTGTCGGAGGTCTCGGTGCCCCAGCTGCCTGAGTCGGTCGGGGACCAACCATCGCCGCCGTCGTCAGGGTTCCAGTTGCCGCGGCGGACACCAAGCGCCGACCCAGCAAGGGCCAGCGTGATAAAGGCAGAGGTCTTCATGATGCGTGCTTCAACTCGGACAAATTGACATAAAGCGAGCGTGATGGATGCAAAATATGAAATGAATATGAATAAAAACAAATCTAAACGGGCTTTGCAATGAACGGTGGGGTTCAGATTGCAGATGCAAGTAGATCGAGGTGGTAACAGAAAAGAAGGAAGAAGAAAATGGAAAAAGACAGAATAAATAATAAAACGAGGAGGACAGGACAAATTGAAGAGAGGGGTGCAAAGAAATAACGATTATCCGAGAACACGTACGGATGGCAAGCCGTAACTGAGAAAGGTCGCAGCAACGGGATGTGTAAGGCTAATCAGGTATATACACACTGTGATGTCGCTTGTTTCATCTGAATAGATTCAGTCCTCTTCTTCTCGACCAATAGGTTGAATTCGTCTATGAGCCTCACTTTGTTCGGACAATTTCATCCGGTAAATATACGAAAGTCTTGGTCGTGTATCAAACCACAGATGCGCTACCAACTGTTACGAGAGTTATACAATCTCATGGTACCTTGGGCCGCCAACATGTGGACCGCCATGATCAACAGAGATTTCAAAGATTCCCTTCAAAGAAGGCCAGGGTAAAAGAATGTGGCAAGAGTCGGGATGGAATGCGAGGGACATACGAATCGAGGGGCGGCTGGTGCGTAATGTGACGACGAAGGTAAGAACCGGGATGAAAATTCGTGGAATCACTTGGAAGCATCTCGGAACCGCTTGGAGGCGGTCTACATTAGAGAACTGGCGGGCATTACTGAAAACAAAAATTTTCACTTGGAAGTATTCTTATCAGGAACGGAAATTGGCGGCTAACTCAACAGTTGTTGAACCAAAATGTAGCTGAGAGTGTACTTGGGAGGTGGTGGCGTGTTAATTGTCGTTTACATCAACTTGTGGTGGATAGACACAATGTACGGCATAACCGTGGGTTCTAAGATTGGCGATCGGAGGCAGGATATAGTCTCTGTGAATGCGGATTATATTTTTAGACATCCCTGGGAGCCAGAAGAGATCGGATCTCGACTTCTCTGGGTCGGTTCCAGTTGGTGATGATATGAGACGATCTCTTAGTTTCCGGCTAGTTGCGGACGCTTAATCACATATTAAAAAATCCAATGATGGGAAAAACAGCAGTTCTGTTATGTACATCTGATGGACATTTCTTCCCTCGTCCATAGTGGCAACGTTGCTAATGACGGAAATATTGTTGGTATTTCGCAAGTCTAGGTAAGTCGTAAAATTCCAGGCTGCAAGAAGTATTCGTCGTATCGCTAACCGTTATTTTCTCGTTCTTACAGAGAATAACGTTTAGTGCAATGTCTGTTGGCTATTGCTGTGCACGACGTCAACGGTCTGGCTCGTAGTCATCGTCATTCACAAGCACCGAGGTGGTTCACGTGCCGAACGATGAGCCGCGTAGGTGAGAAGATGGGATGGTAGGTGTAACGAGAACCAATAAATGTGAATAAAGAAACGGCTGGAGAATATAGACAGTGACCTATGGATGCTCGATGTACGCTATCTAGCACACCTCCGTTTCCGAATTTGTTTTGAAAACGTCCATGCTCAGGGGAAGCTTGGCATCCAAGTACAATATACATGATCTTAGCTTAGTCAGCTTACAATTGTTATACTTTGGCGTTTTGTTTTGTCCTCGACATAGTATAAAGTATAATCGTATATTATGAACTCGTAAAGGTCGGACGCATCCATTCATCATATTCACCGACGCGTGCTCTGGCCTAACAACTCATTATATCATGTCTATATACAACCCTTAACCCCCCCCCTCTCCCCCCACCTCGAATATAATTTACCATGACATATTACCCCAAAGTGGAAGCGTCCAACAACTTCCGTACCTCCTCCACGAGATTGTCCATGGAAACAAGCTGGCCCTTGTCCTTCTCCGAAGCATTTTTGTCCCCCACGTGCAACTGCTTCACGCGAACCTGCCCTGCGGCCAGCTCCTCTTCGCCTAGCATCACGGCAACCGGTACGCCCTCTGATGAATTGAACTGCTGGAGCGGCTTGGGCTTCACTTTGGGTGAAAACTCGGCACGGATGCCGGCATCCCAGAGTTGGGTGGCCACGCGCATCCGGTCGGCCAGGAGGCCATCGAACTCCTTGCCCCCAAAGGCCATGATGTACACATCAGCCTCATGCGCAAGCTCTGAGCCGCTTTTCTTGTTCTGGTTGCGCTGCGCGTCAAGATGCGTAAAGATGCGGTCGACGCCAAAGGAGATGCCAACGCAGGGGACGGGACGCTTGCCGTACATGCCCACCAAATTGTCGTAGCGGCCGCCGGCAGCAATGCTCCCGAGCTGGGCACCAGGCAGGACCACCTCGTAAATAACCCCCGTATAGTAATCCAACCCGCGTGCGAGAGACAGGTCAAACGACACTGTGTCCAACACGTTCATAGCGTCGAGGTAGGAGGCAAGACGCGTCAAGTCGGCCATGCCTGCGGCGACGCTCTCGACCTCGCACAGTTTTGTGTCGAGGCGCAGCTCGTCGAGCAAGGTCGACAGGCTGCCGCTGCGCCGGACGTAGTGACCCACACGGTCCGCCACCGCTTCGTCCAGGCCCTTTTGGAGCATCTCTGTCTTCACCTCCTCCCAGGGTGCTTTGTCGAGCTTGTCGACGGCCGAACTGATCGCCCGAATCTTATCGGCCGGCACACCCGCCACGGCAAACATGCCGTCCAGCAGTTTGCGGTGGTTCAGCTTCACCGTGACGTCCATGCCAAAGGCTGTGAAGACCTCGGAAACAATGCGCAGGATCTCGGCGTCGGGAATCATCGGATCGTACGTCCCCGCGATATCAAAGTCGCACTGGTAAAACTCGCGCAGGCGGCCCCGGGCAATGGCCGGCTGGTCGCGCCGGTACACCTTGGCGATCTGGTAGCGCTTGATGTTTTGCACGTCGGTGCGCATGGCCAGCCACCGCGCAAACGGAACCGTCAGGTCGTAGCGCAGAGAACAGGCCTCGCCGCCCTGGTCTTCCAGATTGTAAATGAGCCGCGCGTCTTCGCCATACTTTTCAGCAAGAATGTCGCGCAGTTCAAAGACGGGCGTGTCGAGAGGAACACCGCCGTGGCGTTCCAGGACCGTACTGATTGTCCGGCTGCGCTGTTAGAGGAGACGAAAACACTTTTGTGCATCACAATCCAACAATCCAGCATTCTCCGACTACTCACAATATGTGGTCGCGTAGCAGGAGATCACGGCCGACCCAATCGCGAGTTCCTTTAGGCGTTTTTAACTGACCGCCTGGTCGCGACGATGAAGCAGAATTCTGGGTAGCCATGTTGTCGTTGATGTGGTGTGAAGGAGAAATGCAAGGAATGAGTCAATTCAGAATACGTGTTTCAGCCCCCAAATATAGACGTTCTCAAGCAAGTAAGATGCATGCAAACCACGTGATCATGTGACTCAAAGATGATTTTACATGAACAGAAAGTTGGATTAACGAACCGACGAACCAATTTATTTTACATCATACGCTCTGTTTACTTTGTTAAAGTGCAAGGTTTTTCTCGTGGAGGATGCGCTTATAAGACTAAATGTGGCGACAAAGACCGTCCGAAGTTGGCCTCCTTGTAGGAAGTCTTAACTAGTAGCTATCATTGTGGTTGACTCTTCATAGGGATTTCAACTACATTGAACGATACATTAATCGACAGCAAAGTAACAAATTTCAACTGAATGTGACGAAACATGACATCCCGGGCTAGAAGACCGCCGCGTCTTGTCAGCTTCCACCACGCCATATTCGGCGCCATCCCTTGGAAACATTGACCAGTATGCACCCAACTGTCCATCACAGCAGACGGTCAGGGACGGCATCGTCGTTAATCTTTTGCGGGAATGTCGAGGTCGTTTCGATGTATTAACCAATTGTTGTTTACGTTAACTCTATCTGGTGGCTTGGTAAAATCGAACGGTGCTTTTGCTGCAGATCCGATGAACTGTATAGTCTTTTGATGTTGCCTCTACGAAGTGACACAGCATCTGTGTAAGTGCGAGTCTAAATGCACACTTCCTCTCCGCGTCGCTAAGTGTTGTTGGTTGATAGGCTCACGAGACCGTGCATTATATCTCCGATATGGGATGGGAGGCCCTTTTCACATCTACAAGCGTCAAATGTCTATCTCAAAAGATATCGAACCGTTGCCAGAGCCCAAGATACGCAGAGTATGACAAGAAAAAGTGGAAAACGTACAGCAGGGGGCAAGCAAATTCAAAATCTATCTCTGCCACTTGCCGGTGTTGGCTGCCGAAGTAGTTTCCAATATTGACTGGTCATACAACATTCTGGGCGTCGTTTTCTTTTCTTTTTTCTCTTTTCTCTTCTTTTATTTTCTTGTTCGCGTTTCGCTTGTTTCATGAAAATGACGTTTCATTCCCTTGATCCTAGCTACTCTTCTTGGTAGAATCCTGCCGGGCGTCGTATGAATTTGTCGTTGTGATGCCACGTCGGCCTGGCCGTGCTCGTCCCCATCGACCCAGTGGCGCGTCCCGCGCGTGGGGGACGACCTGCAATTCGATACTCCTTGCATATGCTTATTTTAGCGACTGAAGCTTGTTTTCTCGCGCGCAGTTATTTTCCTGATTCATCCATGAGGTTACTTTTCATAGTTTTCCAGACCCCTCATTCGTCGTTTGTTTTGAACTCATCCTCTTTCGAACTGCAGGGATCCGACTCCTGTCGTCGGTAGACAACCTTGACGCGTTCCAGTTCATGAGAGCGCGAAGGAAGGCTTTTGGACTACAGAATAATAAATTTGGAATATCACAAGCGCCCCTGATTGGCGAAAACCCCAAAAAGTGGATCTCTAACCGAAAACCACGACAAATTTGCCTGCCCAGAAGCCGCACACGAAAGCCAACGATTCGATGGTCGAAACGAAACGAAATTCGAACGCAACCACTGAAGCGGTGGCTACTTTGCATGTTGCTATTTTATCAACGATTTCGTTTAAAGATTCTTTTCTTTCCACTGTTGCGTTTCACTGCCTCAATTGTCGGCCCTTTTCATCTTTCGAATCTTCAAGCCCCTGTTTTTTATTGATATTGTGCTGCCTTCCTTTACCGTCATCTAGCCGTACAACCGTAATGGATGCCCCATCCTCCATCTGTTTATTTGTATTTTTTAGCCCTCCTCCAGCTACCTGGTAGTCCTCACCAGAAAATCATGCCCGTAATGATCAACTCCATCGTACCAAAAACAGCCATTACTCCATTAGGCTACTCTGTTTTCTACTTGGACGTCAACCTATTCTTCCCTTTAATGCTCCGTATGGATCGTTCCTCTGCACGGTTGGCCGTCCTCGCCTTGGTCTCTCCATTTTAAAATTTTACAATCTAGACCTCGCCAACATCGATCGACCCCCAGATTCAGATCTCACCGCGATAGGGCAATACCTGTGAGAAACTTATCGATATCCCCTGTAGTACGTTTTATATGTTTTACCGCTGCTGACGGTGCCTCACCGTGTTCGGCCGCACGTATGAAGGTAACATGAACACCATTGTGTGTTGGCTCCAGACTGCTTGCCTCTCATAGGGCTGTAGGATCTTATCCATCAAGGAACATGAACTTGCCGAGAGCATGTTGGTGAAATCGACTATACGCCATGCTTTCGTGGGATGAAGGACAAATTACAAGAGAATATTGCGGAAATTTTGTCGCCTGTAGGATTTGACGCCCTCCATTTACCGCTGTTTTTCCCAGTATGGTCCATTTCATTTTACTTTTTTTTATGTTTACTTTTTTTTTTTTACAGATTCGTGTTTTATTTTAGGGCCCCCCTCGCGGGAAATTTCAAATAAATAAAAAATTTCTTCCATCCTGAGTTTAGGAAAGGGAAAATGAAAACTTGCCGTGATTCTTTCGGGTCAGATACATTGGGCTGTTCATAAGACGGCGGAGCCAAGCAAAGGGGATGCATCGGACGATTTCCCAAGTCTGTCCAAAGATGGCGCAGGGGCCGGCGCCTGCGCTAGATCCTTTGATGCAATCTCAGCCCTGCATGCATCCAGCCACGGCGCCACGATGCCCCTGGATAGCCATAGCGGTATTTAAGCTTTTCCCCAACTGCAACACAGGGCCGTCGGTCTCGACCGACTAGTCGCCCTCAAGGTCACCTTTCCTCCTGACCGCATGTTGACAGTCCAGGTTCCTCTTTCACCATGTCTGGATTAGCCGCTGTCATCGTGGTCGTGCTACAGTCAAGAATGCATTCTGAGATTCCAAATAGAGAACCGCACGTGAACCTTCCAATTGGCCATTGGCTTTCCTACCGTAATTTTACTAGGGATGCCTTCCACAATGTCCATGCTTTGCCCTCCTTTGATCTGTTCGCCCTCTTTCCCGTCCTATGTGGCGTACGTTGTCGAAATCAAATCTTCAATGCCACCCACGTCCTAGGATTGGCGTGAGGATAGCCGCCGGGATTGGACTTTGGCGTGTCTTGAGATGCCGGCCGCGAGCGCTGCGGTCAACACGCATATGAATCGGTGATACCTTTGGAATGAATTGTAGCCGGTGACAAGAATGGGCTACCGTAGTATGTCGTAACGTTTTGTCTACAGGGATCATGACAGTCGGATTGCGTGTTCGTTGTCTGTCAAAGCCAAATTAAGGAAAGAGAAGGATCATGCACATGATGGAACATGAGACAAGCGACAAGAGACTGGTCCTACACATGGCGGTGACTGACGAGTAGAATCGTTACCTTCCTACGGCGGAAAAGCTGATTCTTCTTAGACTTGCACATCTAGAAACGCGCACCTGTGGCGGTTGACTATGGAGCGTAGGGTCGGACCAGGCATCGAGCAAATAGCACTGTGGTTCTGAGATATAATGGCATGGACGTCCCTCAAGATGAACTTCATCCCATTCTCTCGGAGCCCTACATTCTTTGCCCTCGCTGGATATTGTTTCTCTTATTATCTGCATCTTCCCTACTGCCTTTATTTTACCTCAGTCGCACTTTCCATCTTTAGTGGTGCTGTTGCCATCAATACAACAACACACTGTGTCGTGCCTTCCCTATATTTGAGCCCGCGAGGTCTTTCCTATTGTGGCTTATTCTACCTCCGGCTACGTTGACCTCTTTCCTTTGTTTACTCTTTTATCCGTCACGATGCTTCCCTCGTGGAGTCTATCCACGGCGGCAGTTGGCTTTGTCCTGCTGTCGTCAGGGCTCCTCGGCGGCGTCAACGCTGAGTTCAAGCTCCGCCAACCGGCCGCTCCCAATTACCGGAGCCGCAATAACAGCTGTCCTACTTCTTGTGCTGTGACTGGCCCCGACCCAGCCCACTGGCCCGCATACAAGAGCCTCCAAGATTTCGATACCTGTCACCAGACCATCTTCTACCACATCTCTCTCTTTGATCCGGTCGATGATCTGTCGTCCACGCACCGCATCTATGCTTGCGCATCGAACGGCTCTCTGGCCGAGGCTGGCGCGTCCCACTCGACCATGCAGGTTCAGCAGACGGTGTCAAACGCCACGTTCACGGTTGGACACTGGAGCGCTGCTGCAGGTGTTGATCTTCGGGCCCTGTCGCAGGAAGTGCGCAAGTTTTTGAATACCGGATACCAGGCCAAGGCCAGTGGCTCCACGGCCGCGTCCACGTCGCCAACGGACCAGGCCCAAATTCTGTTTGCGCAGACCATGGGTGGTACCGTGGGCCTCTATGTCGGCAAGGACGTGCAGAGCCTGTCGTATGTATCCAGTGCGCTTGAGGGCCTTGAAGCCTCGTTGACAGCCACCAAGGAGACCACCGGCACGGTGGTGATGGAGCTGTGCGGCCCGCAGTACAACGCGGACCATGTCATCGGATTCATTGCCACGAGCAACACGTCTTTCACGCCTGTGCAGCAGGTTCTCCGTGCGTGGTCCAACGCGACATGCATTGACAACGACTCGACCGAGGCGTTTGTCAGCCCCGTTGGCTTTACAGCACCGCTGGACATCCCGTCCGCCGGTCTCAATAGCACGGCGGTGAACGGGACACTCCCCCATCGTGTTGCGTCTCGTTCTGGCCGCTTGCTTTCGTATCCCCACTCTTCCTTGTCACCGCGCGCGGACTGCTCGACCGTGCAGGTCGTGTCCGGCGACTCCTGCTCGTCGTTGGCGACGAAATGTGGTATTTCTCCGGCGGATTTTACAAAATACAATTCCGATTCGTCGCTTTGTGCGACCCTGACACCTGGTCAGCATGTTTGTTGTTCGTCTGGAACACTGCCCGATTTCGCGCCCAAGCCCAACAGCGACGGATCGTGCTACAGCTACACTGTTGTGGCAAACGACAACTGTGCCGCCATCGCAGCCGCCTACGACTTGACCAACGATCTCATCGAGAGCTTTAACAACGCAACATGGGGATGGCAAGGCTGCAACAATGTCCTACTCGGTGCCGTGATATGCTTGAGCACGGGCTCGCCTCCCATGCCCGCGGCCGTTGCCAATGCCGAGTGCGGTCCCCAGGTTTCTGGGACGGTCGCCGGGCCTGGTGGCACGTACAACTTGTCGGGCCTTAACCCGTGTCCCCTGAATGCCTGTTGTGACATTTGGGGGCAATGCGGCGTGACGGACACCTTCTGCGTGGATACGAGCCTTGGTCCCCCGGGAACGGCCAAACAAGGCACAAACGGTTGCATTTCCAACTGTGGCACCGATATTGTTTCCGGGTCGGCGCCGCCAAGTCCAGTCAAACTGGCCTATTACGAAGGTTACGGTATGGACCGTCAATGCCTCTTCCAGGATATTTCACAGCTGGCGTCGGATCTGACGCATGTTCACTTTGCGTTCGCGACGTTGGATCCGGACACCTACAATGTGTCTGTTGGGTCTGTTTATAGCAGCTACGAATTTGACAATTTTGCTCGTCTAGGATCGGGTGTCCATCGCGTCATCACGATTGGCGGGTGGTCATTCTCCACAGATCCCAGCACCTACCAGATCTTCCGCAACGGTGTTACTGCTGCAAACCGTGTCAGGATGGCAATGGCCATTGCTGACTTTGTGAAGCGACACAACTTGGACGGTGTCGACATTGACTGGGAGTACCCAGGTGCCCCGGACATTCCGGGCATTCCTGCTGCCAGCACCGATGACGGCGCCAATTACCTCGATTTCCTCGTTGTCCTCAAAAACCTCTTGCCGTTCAAGACCGTCAGCATTGCTGCTCCGGCTTCATATTGGTACCTCAAGAACTTTCCCATTCAGAAAATTTCCAAGGTGGTGGATTATATCGTGTACATGACGTACGACCTGCATGGCCAGTGGGACAGCGGCAACAGCTACTCGCAGGACGACTGTCCTACGGGTACTTGCCTACGCAGCCACGTCAACCTGACGGAAACACTCACCTCCTTGTCTATGATTACGAAGGCAGGTGTGCCCGCCAATAAGGTGATTGTCGGCGTGACGAGTTATGGCCGTTCGTTTGGCATGACGGATCCCAACTGCTACGATCCCCAGTGCACATACGGCGGCGGCGCCTCCGGTTCCACTGCTGCCCCTGGCCCTTGCACAGGCACGGCCGGTTACCTCGCCGATGCCGAGATCCACGCTATCATATCCGGCATGGATATTACGATTGACGGCATTCACTCCGACGGGAACAACACAAACACAAAGCGCGAGACTATCAACTCTACTCGTGTCGACCATTACTACTACGACGAACCCAGTGACAGCCAGATCCTGGTTTACGATACCGACCAGTGGGTGTCCTTTATGACGCCGAGCATTCTGTCGTCCCGTGCGACAATGTACAACAGCTATGGCTTTGGAGGCACAACCAACTGGGCCAGCGATCTCGAGACGTTCAATGCGGTGCCTGGTGTGACGAAATCGTGGGGCGCATTTCTGGAGGCCGTCGGGGCGGGCCTGAATCCTATGTCGGAACTTTCGGTGGACAAGTCGGCCGTTCACGGCAATTGGACAAAACTGAGTTGTACCAACCCGGCTGTCGTCAATGCCTTGACAATGTCGCCTCAGGAGCGCTGGGCAGAGCTGGACGGCGCCGATGCGTGGGCTGATGTCATCAACGTCTGGACGACCGTGGACCAGCCCGCCGGTGGCATCTACCTCAGCGAGTCTATTTCGAATTCGATTCACGGCCCCGAAGACACCAATTGCGGTACACTGGCCGCCACGAGCAACTGCGACTCGATCCTGCTGTGCAAGGACGTCGAGAACATTAGCGGTACCGGCCCCGCGGCCTATGTCCTGTGGAACTCGCTGGTGTATGTCCACGAAATGTACGAAACCTTGCACGACGCCATCGTCCAGGCGGCCGCAGTCTCTCTGGATCCTTCCCTGGCCTACTTCGAAGACACATTTGCCCCCGTTGTGCCGCCGAGTGATACTTGGTTGTCGGTTCTCTTCGCACTGTCCAACCTGGCAGGCACAATGGTCGTCTCTTCGGTCTTCAACAGCTTGTTAAAAGGCCTGCCCTATTTTAGAGCCAATGGCGAAGTATACGACAATGGAAAGGATCTCGGGAAGGCTCTCGAGAGCTTTACAGTGAGTGTCATGGGCACCTACATCAAAGGCAACGAGGGCTCGTGGTCTGCGGGCGACCAGGATTCCTTTTCCAGCTACCTTGGCCAGGTCATCAACGTCTGGACCACCGGCACGGAAGCGCAGCTCGAAAGCCTGTTCAGTGGCTCGAACGATTCCATTACGCTTCTGACGAGCCTCGTCGGCCAGGGCCAGTTTCTGGAGGGGTCCGGGGCAAGCCCTCAGTTCAGCGTGTCCAATGCCACGACCACAAGCGTCGCCGCCAGCATCATGCGCGCCTTTTACGCCTTTGCCATCCCGTCGGTCTGGAGTGCCTCCGGCACCAACGCGTTTGTTCTCGACGCGGGTGACGATTGCAGCAAGCCCAGTGCCTATGATTACTACGTCGACTCGTCCATCCAGGAGAAGACCATGGCCTGCATCGACGACCACCTCTACTTCCTCGTGTATCCGAAAGGCGTGGCCAGAGAATACTGCTATCCCAAGTTCCCCTGCCCGTACAACAAGTTCTCGGCGCCCCCCGGTATCGACGACCTGGACGGAACGGCTTGGGGCGGTATCACGGTCACGGACATTATTAACGGTTCTGTGCGGTCGTATCAAGCCAACGGCCTGGCCAACGACGCCCCCGTAGCCGACCCGAGCGATCCGACCACCTTGACAGATCTGTATAACCAGGACATTACCACACCAGGGTACATCCGTCTTCCCGTGTGCACTGGTCCAGTTGCCGACTACGCATGGTTGGTCAACCGGGACAAGTCGGCTCCCAACTGGCCCTGCATCCCGGCAAGTAACTAAGGGAGCTCGAGTGCCATTGCCCACGCCCGCGGCGCCGAGCCAAGAAAGGACATTGCCAACCTCGTCAAGGATACTGTGGCGCTGCTTGGTACAAGCGGCAAGGGTTTGATTCCCAGGGCAACATGAATGTGTCAGCAGGCGAAGATGTGCTGAAAATGCAAAAAGCGTGGGCCTAAAAACATGAAGTCCAGTGAGAGACGGGTTTCAATACTTCTCTCAATTTTACTTTACTTTCGATTCTTTTCCCCTTTGTGTTTTCTTGTTTTTTTTGTTTTTTTTTTAAAAAAAAAGAATCATTCCTTCTGTCTTGCCAAACATTTGCCATTTTCATTATCTCATATTGTCTAAGCGCATTTTCAGCTGATCATGACCGCACCTAGTCTGTGCTCTTCTACCTACAGTTTGTGTCGCTGTGAAATGGGCCGGCATTTGGGCTCCGCAGGCGGCAACAGGCAACACCATTGATGCAAAATACAACCCCTGAGTACATTGAATTTTACGTACTTACATTCCACGTACTAATTAAGGAACGAATAAGACAGAGAAAACGAAAAACAAAATAAAGGGGAAGCGAGAAAGGAGCGGGGAAGGTTCCTACAATTTCGAAACTTGCATTGGGTATCGCGCCCGGCTGGCCACACCTCTACGCTGCGCCTCATGTCTGTTTATGTTTTCCTCCTCCATCGTGTGTCCACTGGTTCCCCGATGCTAGTTGGCTACGCGCCGTGTTTTATGGCCGTAGCATGGTCAGCCGCGGCCGGCAGCGGTCGGCAGCGGTCGGCCGTGACCATTCAGCGGCTGTTGCGTGTCACCCTCTGAGTTGCATACCCTTAGGCGCCTGACGCGACATGCATCGCGGTTCCTGTCGTGAATAGCCCACATCCAGTGTCGTTAGGCCACTTTTTGAGGCCGGGTCTCCGACATCGATACAATCATCGCCTCATTTTCTTGTTTCAGTCTATTTTTGCCCATTTTTGGCGTAGGAGCATTAACAGGCAGGTGGCCTCGCATATGCTCGTGGCATCAAATTCATATTGTTGGACAATGTAGAGATTGCCCGCAGCAGAAATGGGCACTTAAAGACAGCTCGGTATCTCGTGTTTCCTGCAAGAGTCTGCAAACATAGCATATCATATTACTGCCGCTCGAAAAGAAACGCGACATCTCCTTACCCAGCAAGTCAAATAGTCCAACCTCGCAGCAACAAAAAGCGACTAATTCGGAATCTACTTTCAAGATGCCGCAGTCGCACGTTCCAAACTCCAAGGAGCTGTTGAGAAACATTCGTGACATTAGACGGAATCACGATCGGTATACCCGCGATCTCGACGCAATCAAACAGCGTCGTGCTGACGCTGAGCGCGCTCTTGAAGACCTTCGATACCAATTGGAGCGCGAATATGTTGTTGGCCGCTCTAACTTAAGCCGGCAACGCAAGCGTAAGTTATGGAGCCGGTACTGTGCATGTTATTTTCATAATCAAAGGCGCTCTAACCTTGTTACAGGTGAAAATTTGGAGCAGGCGATACGGTACAACGAGATCTTTTTACGCGATCACAGCACCATCTCACAGGTCCAGCGACTAGAGTCGTCGATTAGAAAATGTGAACGAGACGCATCTGTTATCCGTCGGTTCACTGTGAATCGACGGCTGTTGAATAGACTGTAAGCTCTCTATCTCTTTGGACGTGTTAAACACTCTTATAATTTACTAGATGTCTAATTTGATACTCTAGGGTCCCCCAAGAGCTGGCTGATGAAATAGCTGCTTTCGACTATCGCCGTCGTTACCCGATCACATACGACGACGAATGATGAGATAAACCCCGGTCGCGTACTACTTACCTTTACCTGGTCTTCTATTGTCTTGTTCTCTATTCTCTGTTCTTTGTTCTCTGTTCTCTGTTCTCTGTTCTCTGTTCTCTGTTCTCTGTTCTCTGTTCTCTGTTCTCTGTTCTCTGTTCTCTGTTCTCTGTTCTCTGTTCTCTGTTCTCTGTTCTCTGTTCTCTGTTCTCTGTTCTCTGTTCTCTGTTCTCTGTTCTCTGTTCTCTGTTCTCTGTTCTCTGTTCTCTGTTCTCTGTTCTCTGTTCTCTGTTCTCTGTTCTCTGTTCTCTGTTCTTTGTTCTCTGTTCTCTGTTCCCTTGTCTGTTCTCTATTCTCTTGTCCGTCGTCCCCTTACAAAGACTATTATATATTTTATACGTCCGAATTTCATTCCAATATACACTGTGTACGGCGAGTATGCTTTATCTTATATATTTGTAATAAGCTCGTTGACGTCGTATATTTAATGTGATAAAAGGTGGCTTCGTTTAAGGTATTTAGCTTGAATGTTTTTCTCTAATGTTATTCTTGCACTACAGGCTCCTCTTGCAGCGGTAACACAGTAACATCAATTCCTGCCGCACGTAACAGAGAAATGGAACGATTGAGACACCTTTCTTCTTCGCACTCGGTGTCAAATCCTTGTTCGTTAATCGTGATCCTCGTCAAACCGGTAAATTTCCTTTTTGCGACGATGGTGTCATGTAGGTGCTTTAATGGCCCTGCATGAAATCCAAACCCAGATAAACGCAAATTGACAAGACTGGGAGGCAATGTATCTGTGAACTTTGCCCGATTTGAAAGGATAGAAAAATATTCGGATTCCATCCACAAAGACTCGAGCGCGACGAACGACGTGAGATCAAGTTGAGACTGTACCTTAGCGTCCTCCATGTAGGGACAATGCCCTGCCACTGTGTGTGTCAGAGATCGCAGCGTGTGAGCCCACGGAAGAAGAGCCCTCACAACGTCATGAGCCGGGAGTGCGTACGCCGAATCGCTACGGCGGTCTGACCTGAGCCAGGCATCATACTCGCTGCGGCTGATGTCGAGGATACATATCGACACGGTGGCCAAACAAGGACCGACCGACCTGAGAAGGGTCTCAAAGGAAGATACATCTATCGTGCTATGCCATAACTGAAGTTTCGTAAGGTTTGTAAACAGGTACTGTGAGAGAATGGGCTGCTGCGGTTGCTGGTGTACAAACGTCCAATTTATATGCGCAAGTGAACGGATATCCAAAGTTTGTACCTCTGACATCCATCCACCCCGGAAGAGATTAGTGCCAAGTTCGAGGCTGGCAGATGTATCTTGGCCGCGTAGTTGAAGGACATGAAAAGGAGGACGCGATGTTTGGCCTGGTCCTGCCGCAATGTTTGGTATTATATGCTCATGGTTACCGACTGCCGTGCTGGGTAACCACAGGCACAGAGACTCAAGATTCGGTACTATGGGGGAGAGCAATTGCTGAAGAAAGGCCCCACCGCCGACAACGGCCGAGGCTGCGATTTCGATGCTTGTCACCGCCTCGGCTAGAATTCGATGCGTTTGTAGAGTACTACAAAAACATTCAAGGCGCCCTCTCGTGCCATGTATGTCCACACTTATGATCACTGGGTTGGCATAGAGTCGTGGCTGGATGATAGATAACATGCGCCGGCACGTTAAGCCAAGGGCTGCCAGATCAGACTGCCCCGCTAACTTGTCCTGGCACGTCTCAAGCTCTTCAGGCGCGGTTTCGATTTCTGTGGGACATTGTGGTCGTTTTCGGTGAAGTCTCTGCGGTTTCCAGATGAAGGAGCAGATGTGGAGGACGAGTTCTGCTGGAAGACCTTCAAGCGACAGATGCCGACGGGTGTGCATTGCGAGAAAGACAAGCAAGGAAAAGGTGGTGAGTTCGATGGGTTCGAAAATCGTAAACGACGTGGAAAAGTGAAATGGCTTAGGTTGGTAAATGCAACAATAGCGGCCAGCCTTGGGCCAGTTAAGTGGTTGAAACTGGGAGAGTGGCTTGGCTTGTCTATTGTGAATTTTCGTGCCTTTGGCCAGCCAGTGCCCCCATTTAGTTTAGTTTTTATAGCCAATGGCAGGGCACGAGGCAATGTGAACTCCACCGTCCATTAGCGCTTACCCGGCCCGCCGCGTTCATAGAACGAATGTAGAACCGGCGCCTATTTCAGGGGCATTACTTGCGAAAAGCATAATAAAAAAGGGCGAACTTTACCGGCTGGTCTGTGCACTGGCTTTGTTTACATATTTGTCGAGCCTGCTACATGTGCTCAGAAGGACAAAATTCTGCATCCTCCTACAGTCTAGAAAGGCCGCAAAAGCAACGTGACAGCAATTATCATGGCCCGAACATCGCAGAAGCGTGGCATTGTTTCGAAAGATGGCCCAGCCAAACGCGTACGGGCAGCGAACGCTACGAGAAGGGCACAGCCCGCCAAAACGAACAAGCAGAGAACGGCAGCTGCAAGACGAAAAGCGCAAGGCGTCTCCCTAGCTCCCCCTTCCCCGTTAAACACCGCACCCACAACGGTGCTCGATGTGTTTGTCTTTGGAACTGGCGATGCCGGCGAGCTGGGCTTGGGTCCGGAGATTGCGGAGGCGACGCGGCCACGGCTCAACCCGTTTCTCAGCGCGGCGTCTGCACCGGCGACAGGCACCACCTCATTTGACATCGTGCAGCTCGCTTGCGGCGCCATGCACTCGGTGGCGCTGACGCGCGACAACCGGATCGTGACGTGGGGCGTCAACGACGGCGGCGCGCTCGGCCGAAACACAGACTGGGAGGGCGGGATGACAGAGCTCAACGAGGGCGACAGCGACAGCGACAGCGACGCTCAAGGGGCATCGCTGAACCCCCATGAGTCCACCCCGACTGCCATTGATCCGAGCAGCTTCCCTGCGGGCACCGTCTTTACGCAGGTGGCGGCGGGTGACAGCTGCAGCTTTGCGCTGACCGACACGGGGCTTGTCTACGGCTGGGGCATGTTCCGCACGAGGGACGGGCAAGAGTTTTTCTTACCACATCCGACGACGGGCCAGGTCGGTGAGAAACAGCGCGTGCCGGTGCGCATCCCCGGACTGCAGGGCATTACCCAGATCGTAGCCGGCGCAAACCACGCGCTCGCTCTGCAGGGCCGCGCAGGCGGGCCGCGCCAGACACGGGCAAAAACAGGAGCAGGAACAGGAACAGGAACAGGGGCAAGAAACCCTGTCCACGTTTGGGCGTGGGGAAGCAATGACATGGACCAGCTTGGCCGCCGCCTCGTGCGCCGCCGCCGCCCGCTGTACAAGGACGATGTGGTTCTCGATGCCGCCGCGGAGCCGGTCCTGGTCGAGATGCCCGGCAGGGCCGCCGAGGACATCGCCCTGGTGGCCGCGGGCGAGTACCACGCCTTTGCCGTCGGCGCGAGCGGTCGCGTGTGGGCCTGGGGCCTCAACACGTTTGGCGAGACGGGCGCGGCCCCGGACGAGCTGCGACGCCGCGGTGCCGACGCCTCACCAACCATACCAGGGCCGACGCAGGTCGCCGCGCTGGCGGGCGAGCGCGTCGTGGCCCTCGCTGGCGGCGGCCACCACTCGACCGCGGTCACGGCCGACGGCCGTTGTCTGGTCTGGGGCCGCATCGACGCTGGGCAGCTGGGCATGGCCCTCGCCGAGCTGGAAGCGGCCGACGCCGCAGCGCGAGACCCAGCCCACCGACGGCTCCTGCGCGACGAACGCGGCCGGTCACGCGCTTGTCTCTTGCCCGCCACCGTCAACCTCAATCTCGGCACGGCCACGGCCGCGGACACGACAGCGGTCGCCGTTGCCTGCGGCACGGACCACACAATCATTGTGACCGCGGCCAGCCCACACGGTGTTTTTGGTGCCGGCTACAACGGCCAAGCGCAGCTGGGCATTGGCGGCGGCGAGGACGATGACGATGAAGTGCCCGTGGCCACGTGCCTCCGCAGCAAAACGCTGCGTAGCCGGCGCTTGACTTGGGCCGGCGCTGGCGCTCAGTATTCCATGGTGGCGGGGCCTCGGCCGGGGTAATGGACGACGATCTGTGACAATTGTCGACGAATGGACTCGAGAATATATTTCGTAGCAAGGTTTGGCGGTTCTGCTGGTTGGACAGTCTCAATGTTCAAGTATTTATTCTCCTTTGGTGGGTTTCGTACGCGCAGGGCAAGTCGTCAGCACCATTTCCGTGAGTGTCTCTAGCATTGAAGTCTGTAATTCCTGACTACCTCGTCATTGGTGTTGCAAGTCGACAACTCGAATACATCTGCACCTTAATTTGTTTGTAAGTACGTTCGTAGACAATTGTGGAGAGCGCGCAGACGGCCTGATTGGACATTGAAAACTTGGCAGAGATTGGCCAGATCGGTCCACGGTCAGGTCGCACGCTAACGAACTTGGCGGGGAACTTATCTTAGCGAAGCTGTCTCAGCTGTCTTGTGGTGCGGCTGCTGTTGGAGGCCTGTCTGTGTTCGCATCTTGGCAAAAGTACGACACGACTTTGCGTGATGCTTCTTTGTTTCTCGTTGCTGGTCGTTCCTTCCTTATTTTTGAGGCACTCGTCACCCACATTCCTTCTAAAATAGGACGACCTGAAGCCTAACAAAAACGGAAGCCACGTCCCGTTGTTCACAACCCCGCCTTCTTCAGCTTCCCCAGCTAACGTCGACGTGCCATTATCGGCTCCGTTTCTCATTTTGTCTCTTTACTCCAAATCTACACTCGTTGCCAACACTCATCTATCGCCATGGCACAACCCCCCACAGAGTCAGCTGTGCCTCCAACGGCCGCGACGGGGCCAACAACAGCAGTACCGGTCCCTGCTCAAGCTCCAGCCCCAGCTCCTTCAGCTTCAGCAACGTCCACCACTACCTCCACTGCCGCCACATCACCAGAGACCGTCCTCGATGCCTCACTCTTGTCGCATCTATCACGGGTCTTTGCGCTCCACGCCGACAAGAACGACAACCAGTGGCACGCTGACCAGGTGGCTACCTTTCTGACACACGTGCAGGGTGAATCGCCCGCCCAAGGAAATGCACCACCCGCCCTTGATTTCCACGGCTTCTTGCGCTACATCACGTCCGAGGCCGCCGACATTGTCGCGCCCGCGCCCGTCCAGGACATTGACAGCTACCCGCTGTCTAGTTATTTTATCAACTCGAGTCACAACACCTACCTGACGGGCAACCAGCTGTACAGCGACGCCAGCACGGCCGCCTACCGCCACGTGCTCGAGCGCGGCTGCCGGTGCATCGAGATTGACGTCTGGGACGGCGACGACGACGACGTTGATGACGACGATGCGGAAGACACAAGTGCCAGCAGCAGCGACGAGGAGGGCGGCGCGGCGCCCGCGAATCAGACCAAGCGGGCCTCGCGCAAGGACATGATGAAGCGCTACAAGGCCAAGGCCAAGGAGACGCTGCCGACATCGCTCGCGGAACGGCTGTCGCGGTCGACGCTGGGCCGGCGACTGGAGCACTACGTGGAGAAGAAGATTGAGGGGAAGCCCAAGCCCAAGCCGAAGCCGAAACCCACGCCGGCTGCCGCGGCAGGCAATCCAGCAGCTTCGGGAGCTGTCGACAGCATGACCCCCGTCGAGCCCCGCGTGCTGCACGGCCACACACTCACTCGGGAGGTCTCCTTCCGGGATGTCTGCGTGGCGATCCGTGAGTATGGCTTCGCCACGACAGACACGCCGCTGATTGTCAGTCTGGAGGTCCACTGCACGGCCGGGCAGCAGGACGTCATGGTCCAGATCATGGAGCTGGAGTGGAAGGGCCTGCTGCTGGAGAGAGGCAAGAACCCGGCCGCTTCGCTGCCATCGCCAGGCAGCCTGCGCAACAAAATCTTGATCAAGGTCAAGTACATACCGGCAGGCGGGGCTTCGTCTCCAAGCAGTCCACGAGGCAGCACGCCTTCGAACTCCAGCCTCGGAACTGGCACCGGCACCGGCACTCCTGCCGACCCCGGCCTCTCCTCCAAACTCGCCAACATTGCCACCGAAACCTCCACTGTCGAGTCGCCTCCATCAGGTATACCGACCGGAGGCACACCAGCCGGCCGCACACCTGCTCCGGGCACACCAGGTGGCACCGCCTCTGGGGTTGCCGCCAAAAAGCCCTCCAAAATCATCCAGGCCCTCAGCCAGCTGGGCGTCTATACCCAGGGCGTCTCCTTCAAGAGCTTGTCTCAGCCCGAGGCCTACATGCCCACCCACGTCTTCTCCCTCTCCGAGAAGAGTTTGATGGAGGTCCATGCCAAGCACGGCCCCGCCTTGTTCTCGCACAACCGCCGCTTTCTCATGCGCGCCTACCCTTCGGGCCTGCGCATCGGTTCGTCCAACCTGGACCCAGCGCGCTTCTGGCGCAAGGGTGTGCAGATTGTCGCGCTCAACTGGCAAAACTGCGACGAGGGCATGATGCTCAACGATGCCATGTTCCTCGGCACCGGCGGCTACGTCTTGAAGCCCGAAGGTGAGCTACCCCCTCCCCTCCCTCCTATACTTTCCGTTGTGTAACTGCTAACAATCGTCGTAGGCTACCGTGGCGACAAACTGGGAACGCCGCCACCGCCGCCCCCGGCCGTCGACACGACCTTCCAGCCGCCACCGACGCATAGCACGGTCGTCCCACCGCCCGTTGCGCCAAAACTGCTCGACCTGTCCATCACCGTCTTGGCCGCTCAGGGCCTGGCACTGCCGCGCAAGACGGCCAGCCGGGACGGCAGCGTCAGCAGCGATGTGGACAGCAACAAGGTGGTGTCACCCTCGACATCCACTCGCACGCTGCGGCCGTTTGTCAAGGTCGTCCTGCACGTCGATGACCACCCAGAGCGGCCCGACGCGCCAGAGGCTGGTGGTGCCGGTGGCGACGATGCCGAAGAGGACGAAGGCGGCGAGTACAAGGCCAAGACGCCCGTATTCAGGGAGACGGTGTCTGGTGGCGGTGGACGCAACCCGGATTTCAACGGCGTGGTCCTGCGCTTCGCCAACGTGCCCATGGCCGCGCTGCTGCCGGCGGCGACGACGGCCGAGGAGCACCGACGCGCCCAAGAAGCAAAGACAACGGCCGAGGTGTCGGCATCCACGGCCGCGACGTTGTCGTTTGTGCGGTTCCTGGTCAAGGACACGGGCGGGACCATGCACCGGGACGTGCTGCTGAGCTGGGCGTCGGTGCGGCTGGACCGGTTGCGGCCAGGCTACCGGCTGGTGCATTTGCGGGATCCGGTGCATGGACGGCGGAATGGAGCGGTCGTCCTAGTGAAGATTGAGAAGACGATTTTATGAGCGGGCAAAGCGGCGACATCAAGAGTGCCACGTGAGTCAATACGATGCATGTTCGAAAATGGAATACGAGACACGACATGGACTCGAACAAATACAAATGTATACCATTTCCCTAGAGCAAAAGTGAGACATGACAAGCAGAAAACAACCTTGTTAAAACACCGTCCCGCGCGTCGTTAAAATAATCCGGTTTTGACTGTACTTTTTTCATCGTCACCCGTCCCGCTCTCCCTTTTCGACTGCTGCCGCCGCGCGCCGTGATGCAGGTTTCTACCACTGCCACAGCACCTTGTGGTGCAGGATCCGCGGGCCCAGGTACGCATACTCGTGCGGCGTGATCCAGCTGTCGTTGGTCGCCAGCTTGGCAAAGACGCTCGCGCCCTTCCACACCACCACCTGCTCGTCCATGTCGCGGGCGCTGCGCGACACCAGGATCCGGTCCACCAGGTCGAGCCGCCGCGCCCGCAGCCGCTCCTCCAGGTACGTCGTAAAGTGCGGGATCTTGGCGCCGCCGCCGACCACCATGACCGACCCCAAAAAGTCCTTGAGCTTGCGCTCGTCGCCCTTGGCCGCGTTCTGGATCGACGTCATAATGGCAATGTCCAGCGGCGCCACCGGCAGCACCGCGTCGCGCTCCACGGCAATGTCCTTGGCCGTGCGGTGGAAGAGCGGGTCGAGCTGCAACAGGCCGCCGCCGCCGCCGCCGCTGCTGTTTCCTGCGCCAGGCTGGCTTTGGCTGCCGGCGGCCGCGTTGGCACTCGCACTGGCTGCGCCGCCCAGCCCGTTCGGCGCAGGCGTACCGCCGTTGCGGCCGCTGGGCGCCGGGCTGGCGGCGCCGTTGACCGTGTCGCGGCCAGCACCAAAGACAAAGGGGGCCGGCACGGGCGTGCTGGCGCCGCCCTCGGGTGCCGGTGATGCGGCCTTGGACGTAGACGGCGTCGCGCCCTCGATGCCGCGCGGGAAGAAGTTGAACGGCTGCGACTTTTCCTTGCCCGGCGTGGAGACGTCGGCACCGGCTGCACCACCACCACCGGCACTGGGCACGCCCACCGTCGGCGGCAGCACAGACGGGTGATCCAGTGCCAGAACGGCGACCTGGGCGGCCGAGACGGGGTCATCGGGTACGTCGACGTCGTAGGCATTGTATGTGCGGTCAATCAGCTTCCGCCGGCCACGCAGCTTGGTCGTGCAGTCAAACAGCGTCGGCTCGTAAAAGCCCATGGGCGCCAAAATGACCTCGTCGTACGTCTTGAACTGGTACTTGTGCGTCGGCTCGTTGTGCACGCGCAGGTGGAACTGGTACAGCTGCACGGAAATGTCGGCCTGGTTCATCGTGCTGTGCTTCTGCTTGAGCTCCTCGGCCAGCAGAAAGTCGTAGCGGCGCTGCAGGTTGATTTCCTGGTAGGGGAAGTGGTCGTACAGCAGCATCTTGATAAACGTCTCGGTGACGTCGCAGCCGCCGTACTTGAGGTTGATGCGCGAGTCCTCGACGACCAGGCCGTCCTCCACGCAGGCGATGGACGTCTTCTGCGCGCCCACGTCGACCACACAGGCCTGGCTGTAGCCGGCGCCGCAGGTGGCGGAGTAGCTCTCCTGGATGAAGCAGACCTTGTTGAACTCAAACCAGTTCATGCACATGCGCAGGACCGTCTCGACGTATGCCTTGTCGTACAGATCCGGAATCACAAACACGCAGCTGTACTGCCGGCACGACGACACCTTTTTCAGGCCCAGCTCGGTCTGGATGGCGTGTGTCAGGATCGCTTCAAAGTCGCTGTACAGGCTGCTGACACTGTCGTAGTCGTCCTCGTTGAGCCAGCCGTGCTGCATCGGCCACCGCAGCCGAAATCGGGGATTCGAGTCGTCGGGGATGCGCTGTGCCTCGGCGCCGTAGAACACCGTCGGCGGCATTGGCTTTCGCCGGGTCTTGGGTACGATCGAGCGCTTGACTGTGGCGGTTGGGGTGGGCACCTTGGCCCCTTCCGGCTTCGTCTGTTGACCATGCTCCTGTACCCCCTCCCGTAGTTTGTCGTTTCCATAGGGCGCGCCGTTCGACGTCTCTGATGCGTCGCCGTTTTCGACCTTTGGCTCGTCGGGCTTCTCGGTCTTGGCCACAATCGCATCCTTTGTCTCGCCGCCCGCATCCTCACCACCAGCCTCGGCTGGGGCCTCGGTCTCTCCGTCCGCCTGCGGCTTCGCCGCGTCCACATCAGCCATCGCGACGTCGCCATCGGCGTCGGCGTCAGCAGCCTTGCCGCCGTCAGCACCTGCATGCACAGTACCTTCCACCGTCACGGGCGGCTCGTCCTCGGGCGCCACGACCTCCTCGTCAATGTCCACGGCGACCTCGTCGTCCGGCACCGGCACAGGCGTGTTGACGTCGGTCCAGTCTACCTGCAGCGGGTCGTTGTGTGTCGGGATGACTTCGGGTTCCGTCCGCCGGTTGTAGTTGACCACCAGCTCCTTGGAGTTGGGCAGCACCTTGCGCTTGTTGAGGCGCATGTCGGCCTTGAGGTCTTCGCTCATCTTCTTGTACTTCTTGGACCAGTCCTCGCCGTACTGCTGGTCGATCTTCTGCGCCTCAAACTGCCGCCGGGGGCGCGCCTCGTATTCTTCGGACTCGGTGCGCTGGTACTTGGTCGCGAGGCACATGGGCACCGTCTTGGGCAGGACGTCGGTCGAGAAGCCGATGCGCAAAAACTGGCTGCCCGGGTGGATGACAATGACTTTGGAGATGTCGTTGCCGTCGGTGGGCATGTTGACTGGCAAGTCGCCGCCCTGCTGTTGCTGTTCGGCGATGGCGGCCGTGTTCTGGTTCAGCGCCCGGTCGCGGTCCTTGGCACTCTGCACCAGCCGGTCGCGGCTCGCCTCGTTAAGGACACGCAGCGCGAGCACCTGGTCGTCGCGCTTCATGTATTCTCTGTGAGAAGGGCAAAGTCCATCAGCAAAAGCACCCTCCAAACACCCGTCTTTCTGTCCTATGGCCCGACATACGTGTAATAGTTCTTCTGGTTGATGGGCGTGACCTCGGGCCAGCTCGTCGGCTTCATGCCATTGTCGGTGCGCTCGAGTCCTGCATAAAGTATCGGTGTTAGCCAATGCATCTCCCAGTTCGAGCTCAAATGCACACAGCTTCGCCCCAACAAAATCAACATCTCAGTGCCCTCGCATCATAATCCATCTTCGTTTCAATCAACTCGGCTGCTCTACTTACCTTCCCGAAGGAGAACGCGCTCGCTGACTTTGCCGACCATCTTTGCGGTGTTGTACGGGACGATCGCGACAGGATGCGTCGGTTCTCCGTCTCGATGGAAAATACGGTGCTCCGGCGATGTCGACGGAAAAGGGAATCACCAGGAGCAGGACCGAGTTCCTCTCCAAAAAAGCTCCTCTCAATCGGCTGCCGCAGCGCCTGCCTTCCCTGTACGATTCGCGATCTTGATAGACCTGGCGCGGTAGTGGGGCCTTTCCACAATAGGCTAGATCATCGGCTCATTGTTTTTCCCGCCGTTTAACACCTGTACGAGTACCTGCCTCCAGTGTGCTTTCCTGCTGTTTCCTGCCACCACCCAAACGTTGTCCGCTTTGCGTGAGGAACGTCAGAGTTGCAGACAACAAGGCGCACTTGTATCCAATTACTCTGCTCTGTTCTTGGCTGAAACAAGAGTGCCTCATTGGTCAGTCTCGCACTGGAAATGAGCTCTAGGATACAAGAAGCCAGCGACAATGCTGCAGCCGCGCCATGTGATGGAGTGGTGGCGTTGACTGGGTCAACCGCTTTTTTGCTATTGAACATTCCTTGGCCTTGAGACAATGTTTCTCTGTTTTCGGTGTTTCTTTTCTTTTTTTCTTCTCTTTTATCTATTGCCTTCTCTTCGCTCGCTGCCTAATTTCAAGTGAACAGACTGGCATCAATTTATGGACAAAGAAAATCCTCTGGCAGTTTGTCACCTGACTGCTCCGAGCAATGACGTCGCCACCGAGATTATAAGGCAAGTGCACCCCTGGCGTCAGTTTAAACAACCCCTCAGCTAGGAACCAGGGAAGGAGCTGCCCATCATCATCATACCCCAGCAACGTGGGAAGAAGGACACTTTGCCCCTTTTATATAAAAGTGCACACGCTTGTCTGCGCCTTTTTCTTTCTCGTCAGGCAATGAGAGCATCGAAGACAATCGTCACGGATTCCACACTCTCGAACTGGTTCATTCCGCACTACAAACTCCACTGGTCCAGCATAACGTAGCCGATTAACGCAAAAGCACAACACTTCCTCTACCTCCTCAACGTTGGGCAGTAAACTCAGCTTAACAAACGCTTACAGTTCCGCCTGCTTACACATAACTTTGCCGCGCTTCTTTACAGCTCGGAGGGTACCCAACGTTGACAGCTTAGCGTACCTCCGTCGACGACAATGGCGCCCATCCCCATCTACTCGAAAAGCCCCATCAGCGCGGCCAAGGCAGACGGCGTGACGCCCAAAACGGAGAGCGGCGCCGACAGCAATAGTCACGCCGGCAGATACGCGCCAGAGACGCCAACAAAGACAACGCCATTGGGTGCGGGTGCAGGAGGGCCGCCGCCGCCTCAACCCGGCGCTGTCCCCGGCCTGCCCCAGCCGACCGGCACCGGCCAAAGCCCGAGCTACCGCGGCCAATACGCACCGCCTCCGCCGGCAACAACGTCGGCCGTTGGCTCGTCTTCCAGACCATCCACCAACTACACTCCGCCCCCGCCCCAACCGGGTGCCGTTCCCGTGCCGCCCTCGACAACCGGCGCCACCAACTACGTCCGGGCTGGCGCATCGCCTGCACCGCCGACGACAACTGCCGCGGCCGTTTTGCCTCCGCCCCCACGTGCCGGCGAGTCGCTGGCCAGCACGGGCATTCTCGGCGCGCAAACACAAACGCAAACGCAAACACAGCAGGCACAACAACCGACCTCGACCATGTCTCTGCCGCCCCAGATGGGCATGGCCCCGCTCACGGCGTTGCCGTATCC